ATGTTGACATCATAGTCAACAAGGTCACTGAGGCTAAAATCATAGATATATTGAAACTATGCTCAAAAATAACCTTTTATTGCAAGGCTATTAATTGAAGGATTTGATACAGTTTCAAGGATTACTAATATTTTAACCATTACAATGATAAATATTTTATACAGGACTTGTCTATCTTTCAATCTGGACAAAATCATTCATCATTTTTAAGGAAAATTTCAAAATAAGTACTGACTGAATAGGTAATCATAGTTAATACCAACATACAATAATATTTTACTGTAAAAGTGCGATTTTTTTCAAATTAGAAATGATAAAGAAAACATGACTTTTATAATTACAAATCAATTTAGTCAAATTCAGAATTCATTTAAAAAAATGTTATTTCTTATTTCAGAGAGGACAAAAGGTAGTCTGTGGTTGTGGAATGGGAGAGTTAAATATTTTCACATGGGGAGAGTGGGGTAATATAAGTGACAGGTTTCCTGGTCACCCCATGTCAGTAGATTGTATGGTACCAATTTCAGATGATATAGTGTGTACTGGTTCCTGTGATGGAATGATCAGGTAAATTTGAAGGTTTTACAACTTTATTTTTTATGGTGTTAGATGGCTCAGCCTTGTGCTGTTACTTTTGAATCAAATTCCATTCATTATTCTTTCTATTGAAATGCATTCTGTCAACTAAAATAGCTCAGCACAGAAAATCTAGCAAGAATGTTTAGCTTTGGGCTGTTTCTAAAAATAGAAAAATAAATATCTTTTAAATGGATGAGCCATCACCATATTGCGTCTGTAGCATCCATAGACAATACTCTTTCAAGCTTACATAAATAAATTAAGTCATTACCATAAACAGGCTACCTAATCCAAGATAGATATACCTTCAACTGACTTCTATTTTTGATTGGTATCGAGTATGGCCAAACTTGAAGGTTAATTGAGTTTTAAGTGTGGTTTTTTTTTTTTTTTTGGGGGGGGGGGGGGGGGACTTATTCTCAAGATTAACCAATTGATGGATTTTCTTTTAAAAATAATATTTACAAGGGGTCAATATGCCAATATGTTAATATTAGATATTCATTTCAAATTCATTAATAAATAAATTTCTACATTACAGGGCAGTAAATATTCTTCCAAATCGATTCTTAGGAGTAGTAGGAGAGCACCCTGGTGACTTCCCTATTGAGAACCTCTCTCTATCCAGAGACAAGGAATGGTTAGCAAGTTGCTCACATGATCAGAAAATAAAATTCTGGAATATTGACAGTATTAAAGAAGAAACAGTGGATGTTAGAAGTAGAGCTAAAAAGGGAAACAAGACTAAATTCCTAAAATCTTCAGATAAAGGTGATTTCTTTGCTGACATGGCTGTTGATGAAAACAGTGCTTCAACAAGTGGCCAGGGTGAAGGTGATAATAGTGACGATGAAGATGATGGTGATGACAGTGATGATGACGATAGTGATGATGATGAATAAAAAAGAATATTTACATGATATTTATGTTAATAAAGATTGATTAAACAAAATCTTCTTTTTGTATTTTTATTATTATATCTAATGATTTAGTCATTCGACCAAGTATGCTGGCATACTACATATGGCGTGAACTTAACCTGTAGAATAACCCATGATCTAGGGCTTAATACTTGGTAATAACACTTTTTTCTCGGCCTGACTTGTAGATCGCAAGTCTTCATATTTTTAAAATGCAGGAAACTTCACCACTTTATTTACAATCAAATTTTGCCTGATTGACCTTTTGAGGAAAACAGATTTATACTAATTATTAGCTCGACTATTCGATAAGAATCAGTAGAGCTATTGTAGTCACCCGAGCGTCGGCGTAACCACTTAAGTTAAAGTTTTTGTGATACCTCAAATATTTTCAAAGTCCATTGACATATGGCTTTGAAACTTTGCACACTTGTTTACCATCATGACCCCAACCTGTAGACAGGAGGAGGTAACTGTATCAAGCATTTTGACAGAATTATGCCCCATTTTGGACTTAGTATTTAAGTTACAGTTTTTTTAATACCTCAAATATTTTCAAAGTCCATTGACATTATGGCTTTGAAACTTTGCACACTTGTTCACCATTATAACCCCAGCCTGAAGACAGGAGGAGGTAACTATATCAAACATTTTGACAGAATTATGCCCCTTTTTCAACTTAGAATTTACATTTAGGTTTGCATACCACCTCAGATATTTTCATATTCTATTGAAACAAGTTGAAATTTAATACTCTTCTTTGAGAGCATAATAGGACTCTTTCCAAGGCCTATTACTGTAACATGGATTTAAAGAAAATTTTTGTCCTTTTGTTATTAACTCGGAAAATTTTACATTATCAAGGCTCTTTTACTATCAAGCACTAAGAATAGTCAAGCGTTGCTGTCCTTCTGACAGCTCTTGTTCCTCTAGCTGACAATTGTTTCTATCAAAGGAAATGGCAACTGTTGTGGTTCACTAGTATACCCTTTATAAAACTGTAACTGTACTTCACTTTATATAAAAATTAGAAACAAACTTTTCCTACATATTAATGGTGAGCAATATCCAATTCCTGCGTCTATACTTTTATTTGAAACTTTCTGCATCATTTTGGAAATACAATGTACCTTAAATCTAATCATATGAAACTTTGTCACATTCACTGTTTGATGACATGTTGTTAGAAATATTAATTTTTTATTGACTATATAATCTAACATCATTTTTTTGTCATTACTCATTAGGGATCTGTTAAATTCACTAATTGAATACATGTGCTACGTCTGCATTGTGTATACTGGATATATATGAACCGTGATTCATTTTAATTGTAACAAATAACAAGACTATGTTTCACAAATAATATCACTTTTGTTTATTTATACAACAATAGAGCAATTAATTAACAATTTATTTCTTTTATATACCAGATACTAACAACACATACAAAACCTCAATACACATCAGTAACTTGTTCACAAAATCTTCTGAACTGACGCTGGGCTAATTCTAATTAGGAGCTTTTTTGTTTGGTTTTATGGTTTGGTTTGGTTTTAAGGCGCACCAACACAGTTAAGGTCATATGGCACCGAAACAGAAAAGATGATTTTGGATAACCTCAGGTGTTACAAACTTTGATCTGAAGCACCTCATCTGCTGAAGCTAAGAGATGCATAGAATCCAATAATTCAAACCAATTTAGTCACCTGTTAAGATCATGCAGTGTTAAATGATGGTTGCAATTCTGATGCCTCAACCCATAAAGGCAACATCTTAACCACTAGGGGCAATAAGGAGCTACATTTAGAAGTTTGGGTTGTCAATTATTTTTGCAAAATATGTACACATACCAAATTTTCAAATTTTGTCAACAAACTATAAAACTATGTTCAATAAATTTTCACAACAATGGACAAAAAATTTAATTAAAAAATGATAAAATCATTGTTAAGATTAGTCTCGCATTCAAACAATTAACAACTTTAAATAAAACATCTATGAATATTATATCCCGGATGTAATGTAGAGATTATAAACTGTAAAATAAAAACTATTGTCACTCATGTATAAAGGCAATAAGGCTGAATGGCAAAAAATCATACACAAGTGACATTAGAGTTTTTAGACAGAACAAGTCGGGAAAAATGGACTAGATGTTTTATTTGATTTAGTCAAGACTAAAAATAGACATAACTCCTTCTCTCTGTTGTTTCTAACATTTCTGATATTAAAAACATACATTGATCCAACTTGAAAACTTTACTGGTTTATAGTAGGGGGATGTTATAGAACTTCTCACTAATTTGGGGAGAAAACATGTAAGGTCAGAAAGCTTAGTTGGTATATCCACTGTATGGTATTTAGAGGGTCACAGGTTCAAGCCCCAGTGAGGCTACACATTTTGCTCACCCTGTGACATTAAGTCATAACATGCCCAACATGGGGCCATGATTGTATACAGCTTCTTTGTTGCTGATAAGTGTTTTTCTGTCCCCATAAAATAGTAGGATGGATTTCATTATGGGGGAGCAGCAGGCTTCCAGAATTGTTTTGATTTATAAGCATATTGTCACATGAACAAGTTATTCAAATTATGGCAGCTTAAGGGACTTGCTACAAATAATAACACATAATAATAATTATTTATAACATATACTCTTTACAATAGCTTTACTGAGTTTGTAATTAATAAGAAAAATGGTGATCCAAATTTGTATATAAGTATGAAAAGTGAATTGTGAATATTAAAATATTTATTCTTGTAGAGGTGAGTGTAACTGTTGAATACACAAGTTGGAAGAAAAAAAACCTTCCAGATTTGGTTAGGAAGAAAAAAAAATTTAATAAGCATGTAGTTAAAATTAAAATTGAAATACACATTTCGTGCACCTTTTCTCGTTTTAAATATGTAGTTGACTGGTGAACAGAATGATCTGTCACAAATCTGTCACAAATGCTGGGATGCTATTGATGTACAACTAGAGTCTACAAGTGTACACCTAAATAATGTTTTATGTAGCTGTCAAATAAATCTATTGTAAAATAACTAAAGTGTTATTAGTTGGCTAAACAAATCTAATTAGAATGCCTGTGGCAGTAAATACAGGTCTTTGCAACCAGTATTGCAGGGAAGCCTGTACTCCAGACTAAACTGTAGAGTGCTCAGTTATAATATTGAAATCCTTGTAACCAATAATGGATTTTTTCAACTTTGAACCTGAACCAATTCTTTATTTTTTGTTGGGTTTTAAGTCACACTGACACATTAAAGGTTATATGGCAACTTTCCAGCTTTACTCATGAAGGAGAACCTCAGGTGCTCCTCTGTGCATTATTTAAGGCACAAAAGGACATCAAATAGAACCACTGACATTCCATAAGCCAACTGGATAGCATGAAACATTCAACTGGGTTAGAGTATTACTTTACTTATTTTTTAGCCTTTGTCAATTTAACATCAATGTCTGTGTCACCCATTAGTTTATCATATTTATGCCGTTTTGCTGCCTTGCTGCAATCACATTTCAACTGACAAAAACTTTCTTATTAAACTTACATAACAAAACTCTCTTCATTATCGGTAACTTTACACAACATACATTCTATCTTTAAAACATATTCTAACAGATATATTTCACATCAAACTTACAATAATACACAGACCTAGAGGTGGGACTCTTGTAACTTTGTTTCCCTATACAATATCACATTCATTGATCATGGCTTTTTGTCAATTTTGTTTCATTGGATTCAATAAATATATAACTATTATGCATTTTACTTATTCTAACCCCAAGCTCCAATTAATTCCCTGAACTAACATGATTATAACTGGTTGCCAGGCAACTAAATATCTAATCCAATCGAGGAAATTTCCATACATCATATGTGGTCTATCCCATCTGAAAATGTGTTAAGGAGCACAATTTATGATAAACCTGATTTTTATCAATATTTATATTTATCTCTATGGTAACAATAGGGTCATATTACAGGGGTCATCTTGACATTATTCATTCCCTATATATAACATAATCATTATCAGACTACACTGTTATTTTTGTAACATAAGTACCAGGTTGCATCAATATATTTCTGTGAAATTCTCTTAACAGGAAGTATTTTTATATATCTGTAATATCACAGTAAATGTACACTCAAGACATTCTCTGGGATTTTATCGACATCCAGCCCAGTATTTTTACTTTTTATAAAGAAAAGTTTCAAGTTCAACCTTTTTTTCTGCAAGTCATTTATCACTTCTCATAATCACTCTTATTTGATTCCTTAATTCTGTGTTTCAAAGAACCTATTTTATCTAGAATCATACATGATGTGGAAATGAGTCAATAATATCATTTTTATGTAATCATTGCAGTCATAAGGTTTCTTTCTTTGAATTGCCTAAATTGTTAGAATTATGTTTTGACGATATCTAATAATCTAATGAATATAATAATGGACAATCAAACAACAAATAAAATTTGACCCAATACTTCTCTACGTTTGATAGAAGGGTTTTGAAATTATCAAAGGATACGGACTTGGGAACATCCGCTTCAGATCAACTTTCTCTTTGCAGTAGGGACACGTCTGCTTCTTTCCCACAATGCACCAGCCTCGTATACAAAACTCGTGAAATCTAAAAACGTCTAGTTAAGGAAAACATAATTATCACATAACAAACTAATTATTTAGAGAAACAGATAAAAAGATTTCTCAACAAATGGCCAACATCACAATAAGCAATCTACATTCTCTAGACATTAAAAAAAATATCACGTGTTGCAAACAATATACAACATATCAACTCCACAAAAGTCTGTTTTGTTACATTTTGTAATTTTAACTGGTACTTAAACTGTATTTTGAAATTATAATTGGTAACAAAAAGTATCATAATTAGTAATTTTTATTGGTATATTGTAATTGTATATATTATTTTGTATTAAAGGATACACATGGTCACACTGTAGTTTACAGGTTGTTTCTATTATTGCATCTTCATTATTTGTAACTAATATTTGATTACCACATACTGCACAGATATTCGGATCCAACCTTTTCCCAGGCAAACCCGTTACTGTATAATACTGAAATATATTAAAAAACAAGATATCAATTAGCTCTGTACTGGTTTCCTAGCAGTTTCCGGCCACAAATCGCACATTTTAACAAATAAAATAAAAATCAGTCTACGGAGGGGTACAAAACTTTGACAGGACAAAGTTAGGTACCTGTCCAGCATTGCCATGTGTTTAATGTTGCACTTTCATTTTACTTTTTAATTTGAATATAGGCCTGAAATGTAACACCTTTTTTCACCTTTATTCAAATATTCAAAGCAGTTTTCCGGACCTTTTTATTTTGAATATAATTCAGTACCATAAAGCAATGTTAAGATGGTTTTAACAAATAAACAGAACTTCCCAACCTTTTCCGTGTCGTCTGAAAAAATATTTTCCGAAGTATTGATTTACCTAAACTGGGGTCTTAGTTATTGTGCATGGATATTCAAGCTAGAATTCCCCAGGTGTTGCTTATTTTAAAAGTCGCAAGTTCTCTTATGTAACTTTAAATAACAGGCAAAACTTCAAAACATATAAATCGTTGTACTATTTTAAATGCTGTTTAGCATAGAAAACAAATGTCTCTCTGATTCATGAATTAATGTGGACGCCTCCAGACCTGGGGTAATCACTAATCGTAATCATCGATTTTTTAATTGATTACATGATTACAGTGTAATCATCATGTAATTGACTACCTTGCTCAAAATTGATTACATTAATTGTAATTAATCAATTACAGCTTAAATTCAGTCTGTAATTATGATTACAATTTGATTGATATTGATTACTTTCAGATTTTACATGAAACTATTGAAATTCAAATGATTTATTTCACATGTTATAGTTTAACTAAGGTAGTAAAATATCAAGTGAGACATTTTAAGACATCACTCACAATGAAGAAATAAGTTTTAATCCATACAGTTAACCAAATTCTAACTGAAAGATAGACATCATTGTTTGGCTGGTATTCTAACCAAAATGTCAAATCATTGGATTTATGATGTCTTTGAATTTCCTAAAGAAACATCTGGAAATGTGACAGCACAGTGCAAATTGTGCCCTAAGAAGATAAATGGAAACACTAAGTCACATTCAAATTTCATTACCCACATAAAGGTATGTTAAATTTTGTTTCACATATTTTGGTTAAACCATGTTTTAAAAAGTTTCAAACAATGTAGATAACTTCTTTACTTTGTATATTCTAGAGTTTATGTCAGATGCATATTACCATATTTTAATTATATGCAACAGTTATTTTGTAAGGTGATAGACAATGTGTCTATATTATAATGGATACTGTTGTACCATTGAAGTGTTTGTAAAAAAAACTGATAATTTCTTTGTAAAGTCTATTGTCTCTTTGAATTCCCATATAAAAATTTATTGTTTTCACACCTATTTTAACACCTGTATACAGTATACTGTACAATTGACACTTTTAAAAATTCTGTTGCAGAGAGTTCAATATGAAACCTACACCAAGAAGACTGAGGACCATCCCTGCATCATTGGCCCCTGTAGAGCGTTTGCTTAGTGTTGCGGGTAAAATTTTCCGTCCTGATAGATGCAGTCTGACTGATAGACAGTTTCATGAACTTATGATGCTAAAGTGCAATGCTAAAATATGATAAAGTGATGTGACAGTAACTAAAAGTGTGTTAAAATGATGACTGTTGATGAGCTGAAAATCCTTTGTGTATATAATGTATATAGTGTATATATTAAATAGCATTAACTTTTGTTTATAGTTATACATGGAATGTAATCAATTATCAATCAATTACTTTCTCAAAGTAATTGTAATTTAATTGATTACAGAGGCAAGTCTGAGTAATCAATTGTAATCAATTACAATAAAATCTGAAAGTAATAGTAATTAAATCAATTACTGATCAATGTAATCATCCCCAGGTCTGGACGCCTCACTGGTAAAAATAGACTGTACTGGACGAAAATGATAAACGGCTGGAAAACTGCTAGGGGACAGAAACTGCTAGGAAACCAGTACTCATAACATATAAATATAATAATATCATACTGCATTATTGCCAATCAAATAGCACTAAAATAGTAAATTTGAACATGTTATGATAAAATGCAAGTAACATGGAACTTATTTTGCTGTAAATAAGGTGTCATCTAACCAGCTGAGATCTATATGACCTTCTGACAGCACCTTGGTTATATTTGTCTTTAAATAGCTTTATGTTCTCCCATATAATTATATCCTGCCAGCAACTTGTTTAATATTATTTATATAAATATCGACATTTTCAATTACTTCTAATCATTCAATCATCAAAAAATCCAGCATATATTAAAAGAAATTTCATTTAGTAGAATTGAAAAATATATTCATATATAATAGAACATACCCCTATATGAGCTGCCATGGTATCACTACAAACTTCTGCAAAATCCCTCGACACCACTCCAAAATAGAGGCCATAAAACATTATTAATAGACCAAAATCCATAGAATACTGTGGTTTGATCAAGAATAACATGTTAACGCCCAGCATTGTTAACATTATGACCATGTATCCCAGAATTCCTGAGCCATAACTGATTTTGTAGATGAGCAGAAACCATTTATATACAAGCCTGAAAATGAAAACAGATTTTTAGAGAGCATTATTTTACCTTTGTTTGTTGGTTTAGTTCAAACATATACCAATATTATACAAGATGGCAGTCACTTTTTCATACTATCCTGCTTTTTACTATATCCTAGTTCCTACAGGTAAATGATTTGATTCAGTGGTGTAGAAGACATGGCACAGTGGCACTAAACATAAATATTTTCAAAGTTTTCTCAAATTACATCAGGAACTATTTTTACTTTTGATCCCCCAAAACAGCGAGCAATACATGGATATTTATAAGTGCCAATTCCACATATTTTTTATTTCTACATTATAAGAAATCAACTAAGAGACCAAATGACACCTAGGGGTACTTAATTTTCAGCTATGGTGACCATGATCTTCAAGCTGGCAAAATGATCCTTTGTCATGCTATGTTATTAATCTGTCTTGATGATTTTTTGAAATACTATCAAGTATGCAAATATTTTAATCGGATACATTTATTTGAACAAATAAACATACATAGACAGATATTGGATTACCAACAATAATTACTGTCTATCTTTAACATTGTATTCTTAAAACCCTACATGGTTGTAACTCTGGAATTTCTGACAGGCTTGTAAATAAAAAAAATTATGTTAATACAAATGTAATACCTTGGTGTTCTTCCTTCTAAAGGTTTCCGTGTAGATTTGAACACAATATAGGCGGTAATGACTGAGAAAATAGCCCACACAACTATAAACCTCGTCCAACCAAACTTCAAACAAAATCCTACAGGAATTATCCACATTCCAATCAATGTGGCTCTCTGAAAAAAAAATTGTAATAACAGCACACATCACAGTGTTTTCCCTGTCTTTTTGTCAATGGGTCTGGTGCAATTTGAATTGTGAAAATTATCATTGTAATACCATTATTTGGAAAACAAAGTAAAACCTAATGTATACTGTTAATATTTAGCTGTTTGTTTGCTTCATTTCACGCCTTTTTTCAACAGTATTTCAGTCATATAGGCGGGTAGTTTCCTAACCATCGTTCCTGGAGAGTTACACCAGTACTAGACTACCTTCCTCCGCGCTAAACTACCAAAGCATCTCCCGGGGATCAAACCCACGCCAGAGAGGTAACTGGATTAGAAGTCATCGACTCTAACCCCTCGACCACGGAGGCGGTCTATTAAATAACTAAAAATGTGTTGGAATATACCTTAATTCATAATAACCACCTACACCTTAATTATTACATAAAGTCTCATAGTTCCATGTCTCTGTATATATTCTTATGTTGTTTTGAAAATTGTGAATAACAAAAGGATATTGTTTTTAGGCTTTATGAATGGGGCCTTATTTTAGCCCAAAAACTGTAATTAACTGTAATTGTAGGACTGAACTAGAAATGTGTCCATAGGACACGGATGCCCCCTGTCAATCTTATGACTCTAGGTCAAACATTTTTTAGACTACATGTGCCACAAGTTGAAAACTAAAAATCAACAAAGGGCCATAATTCTGTTAAATTTGGTCACAGCAAAAATTCCTTCCTTTACTACCATCTACACATTAAGGTTGTTCATCCCTGTAAGTTTAAGCAAAATCTGCCATCCGGTTTAAGAGGAGTTGCGTTCACAAAATTTCTACATAGTATATAGTGAAAAAATCAACAAAGGGCCATAATTCTGTTAAATTTGGTCGCAGCGAAAATTCCTTCCTTAACTACCATCTACACATTAAGGTTGTTCATCCCTGTAAGTTTAAGCAAAATCTGCCATCCGGTTTAAGAGGAGTTGAGTTCACAAAATTTCTACATAGTATATAGTGTAAAAATCAACAAAGGGCCATAATTCTGTTAAATTTGGTCGCAGCGAAAATTCCTTCCTTTACTACCATCTATACATTAAGGTTGTTCATCCCTGTAAGTTTAAGCAAAATCTGCCATATGGTTTAAGAGGAGTTGCGTTCACAAGATTTCGGGACGTACGGACGGACGTACAGACTGACGGACAAGTGCAATGCTATATGCTCCCACATTGTGGGGGCATAAAAATGTAATTACAACAGTCAACACACTAGACTGTTTCACAATGCTAACATTGGACCCACATCTCCAATGACCTATCAATTTCATGTGCTGAATACTTGACATACCATTAACGCAAAATATACATGCAAAATCTGTCTGACAATGACGTCTGACATAAAAATAAAATGTGATTTTTAGCTTTTGTGATCCCTGAATGATTTAAATGCTACAGCATAAATAGTCTCCATGGCATTTACACTAAATCAAACTAAGAAACTTAACTCAAATTAATGGTTGCCTCTATGAGTATATTTTCCTAAATATAGTTTTTTCCCCTAAAATTTTACCTGATAAGACCTGAAGTATCTCTGTTTCCACTGGACTAACAATATCTGTGCAACAACAAGAGTCGCTATTAGTATAAGGACCATCTCGGCATGCATAGCCTCATGGCCACGATGCTTCTCATGTAATCTTTGGTGCTCTATTCTGTAAAAACAATTTGAATCTAACAAATATCCTACAAGTATCAAATGCATGTAATCTTAATACCATAGTATAAATGATGTAAATTTACTAAGCCAAATATAAGCTTAAAATAAAAATAGCCTATAAGTGACAAATAAGTAAATTTCATGGTACATGTACATCTAAATAATTATAAAGCCTGAATCTATGAAGATATTGTGGTCACATAAAATATTTTGACCCTATTAAGACTTAAAACAACATTAAATGGCATGGATGGCATATATGTGCAAACCAGAACGTTAGACAACCATTTCAACTTTAGATGATTGCTTATTTCAAACTTTTCTTCATTGCAATATAAGAGCTTTAGAAAAATAATAAAAGCCTTACTTCCATCTTTCTTTCTCTGACAACTTTGATAAATCTATGGTCTGAAACACAAAAAGTAGGAAAAAATACTGAATCAATTTAATGTAATTAAATGAAAAGAAATAAGAAAAATATATCAAAAATTACATGCTGCTATTTGCATATATATATATATATAATAACGTACACATGCTGTCCCAACTTTATCTATTGTTTTTCGAGGGAATTTTTAATTACATTATGTAATTAAAAATTCCGCTTTCATACATGTAGCTTGAACATATTGCAGTATCAACTGTGAAAACCGGACCCTGTCCAGACTTGACCAAACATTTTTTAGAAGATAACGGTTTTCATTGGTTTTATACAGAGTCATTCATTGATCATTACGATTTATTTCTACATGGACTTTATTTCAAAATTTATATTTTTTTACAATTATAACAAGGACACTCATGAGCACAGCCGACAGGTATGAAAAGCATACACAGGTTAGCTTTAACCTGCTCTTTTGTTCATTTTATCTGTTGATTAGTCAGGCACAAAATGTTATAATTCTCAAATTTTTGCACGCCAACACTGATGAATTATCCAAAAATCAAAGTCATCATAAATGATAAAAGGATGAATAAAACATGTGTTGTACATGTGGTCATGTACATCACAGATTTTGTCAATTTAAGTCGATGTGTGCATGTATCTCTTAACCTTATGTATGGTATTGAAAAATCTTTGAATTTCTATACTATCCATAAATACCACAAAATCCTAGACCTAAATCCTGAAGTTGGAATTAGGCAATTTAACTGGAGTATATTTCAACTGTATTTGACTTACATGTGTGATATACAACTAATTTCAATTAACATTCATCAACCAGTTTTTTCACACTTTTTTAAAATTAAGCTGATACAACAGATCAGGGTTCTCGGGGACGCTTATTTCGGCGTCCCGGTACGCATGTTTATTACAGCTGGACGCAAATATTTCAGAGCAAGGATTCCACGTACGCTTAATTTTGCCTGGGGACGCATAAACATTACCGATTGTTTACAACCAGAAATACACAAATGCGTCAGCGCGTGTCAGTCTATAGGTAGGCGGTCCTATGCACATCGACCCGTGAAGCGATTAGCCAATCAGCGATAACGCTTTCGATCATTATCACGCAATAGTGATCAGACTAATGTATACACGCGCTGTACAGTACATGTAATTACCAGATATAACACGAGGTGATAATTTTATATCTTTGATCAACAGTTGATTGGAAATTAGCAAATTTTACCGACAAAAGGATAAAATTATCGACTATTTACGCCGCAAGTTTAAAGACTGTTTTCTCAAATTACAAATGAATGTAATTTTGAATGATTGTCAAATATTTTCGGCATTTTCTAGGCACAATTTTGCTTTAGTTTTATTCTTGCAAAAACTTTCGATAAGACTATTAAGAATTTAAGATATTGTGCCGAAATGCCAGGACAACAAACCAAAATACACATACGCTTTTCTTTGATATTTAAATTCTATCCGAAAATTGATCCCGAACATCGGCGATTTCACGTTCGCCAGAAACCCTAAAATTTCGCAAAAATTCTCGGTTTCCAAGCCAAACATGCGAATGAATTGTTCCTTTATTATTTAATCAACATTAAATCTTTAAATATCGATCTTCAATTTGCCCCCTTTTGAAGATATTTGCTAAAATAATTGTCGATCGGATGAATCTCTTACACACTGTTTGAAGCTGTACACGATTTTCCTATTCATTCCGCTAAACGCTGCCTATATACATTTACGTTTTTTTTTACAAATATAAACTTTTTGTCTTTAGAGTGGACTTATTTAACCAGAATAAAATTTGATTTGGTATAAAAGTGAAAAAAAAACAAAAAACGATTTCCATGTGTTGATGCATTATAATGAAATAATTTCATAATAAATATTTCATAATAAATATCAACAAAACAAAACAATAATTATACTATGTAGTTCAGAGTTTCTTTTGAATAACTATAAACTTTGGAAGTCTCTTGAAGATTCAAAATATCAGCAATGCTATTGTGAGCATTGAATGACTAATCTGTAAACATATTAATTGGGACGCGCTTTTGGACTCCAACTTTTTCAGGGTTGGGAGTCCATGGACTCCATGTTTTAAAGTCCTAGTGAGAACCCTGACAGATTCTGTCTTATCTTTATTAAATACTGTGCATGTAAGTTGCAACTTAATCCGAATTTATGCAGTATCCGAAAGTAGTTTATTTGAGACATTGCCTTAAGCGATAATTTACGCTTCTACTCAGCGAAAAAACTGTTAAAATCCTATGCAACACCTTCAGCTTCTAAAAATATGCAAATATTACCTTGTTGCCAGCTAAATGGAGAGCAATATCGGCATGTTCAACGTGGTTGTTCATTTTCCAATTGATTTTTTTGACTACAACGATAATATCCGAAAATCCCGATCAGGAAATTATTAACGAATTAGTAATCACAACGGAAACTGGTCATCATCGACAAGATTTCCAGCGATCTCAGCGCCCAAAGATCCATGGAAGTCTTTTACATATAAAACTTTTTCCAACTCATCAAATCATAATTACGTAAAAACAAGATTTAAAATTGTTTTATAGGCTACTCATGGTAAAAAAAAACATACTGTCATAAAATTCCTCCACGTCACTGTTAGTCTATATACATGTATTTGGGTAATGATTTGGTTCTTAAAATCATATGACGCTTAATATATAGCGTGTATATGTATATTAATATAGCTTAATTGTATATATACACATTATTTTACTGTTTTGCGAAGAGTCACAACCTCTGGCCGTTAAAGTATGACTGCACACGATGGCAGGAATACATTGGATTAGGTATATGTGAAAGAAATTGCGTACACTGATCATCAACTTTCAGAGCATGCGTGCCAAGAGAGAAGCGTTCTGGGCACTACTTGAGCAGGCAGACCCAGATGTTGTCCTTGCCAGCGAGACCTGGCTGAACACTAACATCGCAGGAAGGGAAGTTTTGCCTGACAACTACAGGTTTGTTACACGCCGCGATCGACCGAACAGCACATATGGTGGTGTGGCGATTATAGCGAAGCAAGACATGGAAGCTACCGAAGTACTGAATAGCGATACCTCTGAGTTTGTTGCTGCATCGTTTAACACCACAAGCTCGAAGAAGCCTATTATCATCGGCTGCCTTTACCGTCCCACAGATAACAACATATCTTATGCAACAGACCTCTGCAAAGAAATCCAGAATCTCTACTCAAAGAATAGGAACAGTTCCATCTGGCTGGGCGGGGATGCCAACCTTCCAGATATAGATTGGTCAACAGACAACATCCGGGGCCACCAGTATTCCGTTCCCATTAACCAGACCTTCATTGACACATTTAATGACATTGGTAGCGAACAGATAGTAAATTTTCCTACACGTAACGACAGCACACTTGACATTTTCTGCACGAACAGACCAACCTTGGTGGAAAGATGCTCTCCCATTCCTGGCATAAGTGACCATGACATTGTGACTGTGGACTCTGATATTGTTCCCAGACGCCAGAAATCAGTCCAACGTTGTATTTACTTATGGAAAAAAGCTTATATACCGGCCATGAACGAAGATCTCAACAACTTCTCCCAACATTTTATACAGGAACACAACTCGAGCACCCCAATTAACACCCTGTGGACCATCTTAAGGAAGAAGTGCTCAGACACCATCGATGAGTTTGTGCCATCTAAACTGACATCCACAAGATTCAATCAACCCTGGTGTAATCGACTGATAAGGCGTCTAGCTAGAAAGAAGAAAAGAGCCTACAGGAAAGCCAGAAAATCAAAGAACCAGACAGACTGGGACATTTACAGGAGCATCCAGAAACAGGATCAACAAAAGTGCCGAGAAACCAGGAACGAGTATGTTAGAACATGGTTAGTGAGCCTGGTACCAACAACAAAAAGCTCTACTCGTACGTCAAGAGCATGAAGAGTGACAGCTCAGGCGTTGCACCACTCAAGAAAGATGGCATCAGCCATTCCGACCCATGTGCCAAAGCAGAGATACTCAACGCCCAATTCTCCTCCGTCTTTACCGAAGAAGATGTTGAGAGTCTACCGAACATGGGCCCTAACTTCAAGAAACAGCCCTCCACTGCAGATCCATGAGAAGGGTGTCAAGAAGCTCCTGGAGAATCTCAACCCACACAAGGCCACTGGACCGGACCAGATCTCATCCAGATTTCTGAGGGAACTGGCTTCAGCCATATCACCAATGCTGACACTCATATTCCAAGCTTCACACGATCAGAGCCAAGTACCAGATGACTGGAAGGGCGAACTAGTCACACCACTATTCAAGAAGGGAGACAAGAGTAAGCCTTCAAACTATCGCCCAGTCTCGCTGACATCCATCTGTTGCAAGATTATGGAGCACATTGTCCATAGCCACGTGATCAGTTTCCTCGATCATAACAACATCCTCTCCGATATGCAACATGGCTTTCGGAAGAAGAGATCATGCGAGACGCAACTGATCACCACAGTCCAGGAACTTGCAACGGGCCTGAACAACAAACAGCAGATCGACACCATCTTACAAGACTTCTCCAAGGCGTTTGACAAGGTCCCCCATCGACGTCTCTCGGCCAAGCTTCACCACTATGGGATCAGAGGCAAGACTCTGGGTTGGATCAACAGCTTCCTCTCACACCGTCAACAACAAGTAGTACTCGACGGGAAGACATCCTCTCCAGCACCAGTCACATCAGGCGTCCCGCAAGGCACAGTCCTAGGGCCTCTCTTGTTTCTAGTCTACATTAACGACTTGCGGGCAGGGTCTCCTCCACAGCACGCCTCTTCGCAGATGACTGCCTACTATATAGGACCATCAGCTCTGAGGAAGACAGCATTCGCACTACAACAGGATCTTGACCGCCTACAAGAGTGGGAGCAAGACTGGTTGATGATGTTTAATCCCGACAAGTGTGAGATGATTCGCATTACCAACAAGCGGAAAGTGATAACTTGGTCCTATGCCATCCATGGCCAAACACTCAAGCAGACGAACAAGGCAAAGTATCTGGGTGTCACACTTGACAATACGCTTTCCTGGAACAGCCATATTGACGCTACTGCAAAGAAGGCGAACACCACCACTGCGTTTCTACGCAGAAACTTATCACACTGTCCACAGAACATCAAGGCGACATGTTACAAAACACTGGTTAGACCTCAGCTCGAGTATGCTTCGTCAGTATGGGACCCACACACCAAGGCCAACATCAGTAAGCTCGAGAACTGCCAACGAAGAGCAGCCAGGTTCTGCACAGGTGATTATCGTTACACCAGCAGCGTTACTGCAATGATGGAAGCTCTAAGCTGGGACACTCTAGAAGCCCGCCGTCAGCAAACCAAAGCAGTGATGATGTACAGAGTCATTAACAGCCTGGTGGATATCCGAGCCCATCACATACTGATCCCTGCTGGAGTACACACCCGAGGCCATGCCAACAGGTACCTACAACCTTCACCAGTGTCAACTCATACAAGTATTCGTTCTTTCCTTCTGGGATCCGACTTTGGAACAGCCTACCAGAAGTCGTGATGACAGCTCCGTCCCTAGAGGTCTTCAAGACGAGGATGGGTGCGCTGCACGAGTAACTCTGGAGCATGGTGTTTTTAACCTGTTTTTAGCTGCACTTGATGTTCCCTTCACTCATGTAAATAGTCACAATTGTGCGACGATGCTCCAGAGGGGCCCAGCACATTACCCGGAAGAAGAAGAAGAAGGTACATTAAACCAAATTCAAGTGTAGATATTTTACATATTTTTTTTGTAATATATTTTTTTATATTGTGTTCTGAAATGGTACTTATATGTTAATACACGTACTTTAAATTCCATGGTTTATATAAGGAGCTATTAATGTTTATAAATGTAATGATATAATGTTATGTAAAACCATTGTAGGCCTATTGTATTATAATGTCATCCTTACGTAACTTGATATACATATATAGTCTCTTTCAAAAATTGTATTAATGTGTATTTATTTGTGTACTTGAATTTTGAAACTCTATCATAAAACTTATGTTATCTCTTATTTATTGACATTGTATATGTATCTGGGACATACGATAAGCTTATCGTATGTCCCAGTATGTATGTACATGTGTATTATTTTTCAATAAATTGGGTTCCACACTTAATCTTGAAAGTGCCCATTACGGTCCGTAATCCTTAAGGCAATGTATTCATCGTAAACTTTTTCAACAATTTGTGTCTTTATTGACAATGTGACACGAATGAACTCGGCTCAGTCTGTCAATTTCACACCTTTGACTTATTATGAAGAAAAGCTCATTGGTTTTTATGGCCCTGGACTATGCATAAAGAGCAATAATCGTTTCCTCGCTACTTCTCTGCAACTTCTGGCAAGAATTCAACAAAATTTTATGGGAACCATCAATACCAAGAGATGTGCATATCGTCGCCTTCTTTCGGTCCGACCCTTCAGCACAGAGTTATGGCCCTTGCTTAGTTATGCAGTGTGCATATAGAGCAATAATCGTTTCCGCGCTACTTCTCTGCAAGCCAACTACAATGTATACTGGCAGACATTCAATGAAACTTTATAGGAACCATCAAAACCAAGATGAGATGCACATATAATCACCTTGTTCCGGTCCGACTCTTCAACACAAAGTTATGCCCCTTGATTAGTTATGCAGTATACATACAGAGCAATAATCGTTTCTGTGCTATTTCTCTGCAAGTACTGGCAGGAATTCAATGAAACTTTATGGGAACCATCAATACCAAGTGGAGATGCGCATATTGTTTGCCTTGTTCAGGTCAGACCCTTCAACACAGAGTTATGGCCATTGATTAGTAATGCTTTATGCATATAGAGCAAAAATCGTTTCCATTCTATTTCTCTGCAACTACTCGCAGGAATTCAACTAAACTTAATTGGAACCTTCAATACCAAGACGAGATGCGCATATCATAGCATTGATCCGGTCAGATCCTACAACACAGAGTTATGACTATTGATTAGTTATGCAGTATGCATATTGAGCAATAATCGTTTCCGCGCTATTTCTCTGCAACTACAGGCTGGAATTCAATGAAACTTTATGGAAACCATCAATTCTAAGAGGAGGTGGGCATATCCTCGTCTTGTTCCAGTCAGACCCTTCAACACAGATTTATGGCCCATGATTAGTTACATGTATGTAGAATGCATAAAGAGCAATTTTGCTATTGCTTTGCAACTGCTGTATTGATTTCAACAAAACTTTATGTAAACCATCAATACAAAAAGGCAGTTGGATCTCATTTATTGGCATGTCCAGATAATACTCTTTAACAGGGTGTTATATGGCCTTTTTTATTATATACAAAGAATATAACTGTTTATGTTATGATAAATATATAAATAAAGCCTTATGTCTCCAATTGTTGTGTTAGTAATAACCAGTACTCAGCGGGGGATATAAATTCATCAAATTTGCTTGTTGGTTTTGTTATAAGTAGCTTAATTAGAGGCAGAGCTGCATCAGTACTAAGGGTGTCGTACTTAAGTACCAGTACCAGTACTTGGCAAATTATGCAGTACCATTACCAGTACCAGTACTAGATTTTAGCTTGGTACTGCAGTACCAGTACTTTTTTTGGTGAAGTAATTAAGTATCAGTACCATTACTTTTATATATTCATCAAAGTTTGAATAAATACAGTGTCAAACAAATAATTGCAAATATTATTCAGCAAAGAAATAAAAATCATAATTTACTTTAGAGCTGCATGCCTCCAGATGACCCAAAATATTTCAAGAAAATTAAACTTGGAAAAAAATTACTAAAACTTTGACAAAAGTAAACAAATTAAAGATTTATATCTTATGTGCAATTAATGACTGTATTTTGTAGTATTTATCACCATATTTCTACTGCGTTACTACCGGAGTAGGGGCTATTTATGCATGATTAATTTGACCTCTTTTTTGGTAATTAACATGGATTTTAAGTGCCGATTGTAATGTGTCAAGTACTTTCTTTGTTCATTTAACAATATTTTACCTTTAAATACTTTTTCAAAATTTTCATGAAAATTCGGATGAATCAGGACTCTGGAGGCGTGCTGCTTTAAAGTTAACATAACATATTTACAACTTTATAGTTTTAACATACTTTTTACAAACAATATTTACAACATAAATTCATGTCATATCTAACTGTTTTGTAACCAGTCAACTGTATAAATACAATGCAAACATCTTTTATTTAAAACACAACAGTCTTCTGTTGCCTTTCACACCTTCACACCTCTGTTCATTTTAAACCAAAATAAATAACAACTTTTTATGGTGCTTATAATAAACAATATCACTTTTTTCACTTGAAATGGGATTTTTTAGAATAGAAGAAATTAATTAATAGTGTTTATTTTGCTCTTTTACTAGTAAATACAAAGTAATAAAACATTTTAATAAGGATATTTTAGGGTAAAGATTTATTGAGTCTGTCTATCTTAATTTAATTTTTACTTAAAGTCTTTGGTGCTTTTTATGATGAATACTATGTTAACATTTGGAAGGAATATTGCAGCAAATTATCTTTGGATTTGATAACTTACTTTTTCACAAAAATAAAATATAGTTAATGTAATTTACAGCTTTATTATATGACAAAAATTGATGTTATTTTTAATTTTTATCAAAACCCAAAGTACTGGGTAATGCAGTAGCAGTACCACTTTTTAAGACAGTAATGCAGTACCAGTACCAGTAGTAGCAAAATTTTGTAAGAGTAATTCAGTATCAGTACCAGTACTTGCAAAATCGCTGCAGTACGTACTGCAGTACCAGTACCAGTACCAGTAATGCAGCTCTGATTAGAGGTCAAGGTCATATTGACTTTGAAATATGTTTCCATTCAATATTTGGAGATATATTTGACACAGAGTCTTCAATGACTGGCTTAATCATTGTGTAATTTCTGAGTTTTATTATTTCCGAGTTCAGTTACCATTTTATTCAAATGACATTTTTATATAAAAATACCTTAGTCAAGGTCAGTAGTACTGGCCAACCTATATTTTGCTGAATATTTAGAGTCCAGTTTAACTCAGAAAAAAGACCATCTAGTTTATAAATAAAGAAATCTTGTGAAGCTCTGCTATAGTAATAGTGATTTTAAATAGAAAGTCTGAGAACTTGACAAATTGAAAAGGGACCTTATTAGATTAAAATGTAAACCAGGGTTATGTAACTTACTTATATATTTATTTTTGGAAAACTTACTTAATCTTTTTAAATATTAAAGAAACAAAAACAGATTTAGTGCAAACATATACAATGCACCTCTTTTTCAGGAGGATATTTTAAGATTGAAAACAACAAAACAAATTATTCCATCAGTAACAACATTTTTTTTTACTTAAAATGAAATACTTTCATGCACAAACGTACATACATGTAAAAACAAAACCTTTTTTAACAATATTGGATAAAAACAGCATGTCAATAACAACATAAATATATATAAAGAAATGTGAATTCATGCACATCCTTATTTGTGACAGATTCAAATTAACATATATTTAATACAAACTGGAACACAAAATTTTTGTTTCTAACAATCTGATGTATGAAGTCCCATTTGTAAATAATAATATACACATTGTATATATATACTTACATACATTGTGTGTTTAATTTTGTATTTCAATTTAATAGAATAATATAATAATCTTTATTAAAGTCTCATCCATACATAACAACATAAATAGTTCAATTACATAATTTTACAATATAAAAGTTGTTTGTGTACGACCATTCTATTCTGAATTACAAGATACTGTAAGAGTAACAATAGTGGAAGGGAAGCAACTCCCAAGCACAAGCTGCAATGATTTCCAAAATAACTTGGGTACTGACTTACCTCTCTTCCCATTCCAAATTCATATACATTAAGAAATTATTGCTAATTTTACAAATAATTAAACATTAATTTGTATTCCTATCATTTTTAATATACATGTATAAATATTTGGAGAATATAAAATGTATTGATGTTTTAAATTCCATGATATACATAACAATTATGATAATCTTTGTCAAATTTTAAGGCAATTTACATTTCTACATTAAAAAAGGCATATAAATTTAAAAAATCCTCAAAAAACCCTGTAAATGCTACTTCAGCAAAAGATTTATTTGTGTAAGAATTTCAGTTACAGTGGACACATGCTCCTGTTGAGATTTTTTATTTTGATTATAATTTATCCTCTCTATATATATTGACAGAGTTTCATGATGAAAGATGTGTTACTGACAGCAATAGTTTTCCTCTTGAGTTGAGGACAGCATAACAATATTCAAGCATAATACAGTGGTTAGTTATAGTAGTTACATTTACCATGACAAAACAGTCCAATTTACAGGATATTGTTCATTACATTGGACACACTTAAATTAGGTGTTCCAATGGTTAAATACTACTTCATTAGGTAAAGGCAACTACAATCAGGAAATTCATTAGCCAATTACATTGGACACATGCCATATGCACTGTTAACATTGCCTTTGATTGTGTTAAGGCAATAGCACAAAACTCTTGTTAAATAACATTTTGATCAAAATGTATTATCAAGGAACACTGCCTTTTACAATGGTACATCTTTATATATCTAACAACCATTAGAATTGTTTTAAAATATAGATATTATGTAGAATTACTAATGGAAATATTACAGTCAGTGGACCAATGTTTTTGTTAGTATTTGATAATTTCTGAACATGTCTGCTAACACATATTCATGATTACAACATTCAATACAGGATTCTGTCATGTATTATTCTCTTCTTTTCTTTTACAAAACTGCTCTATGTAGAATGTTAACTGATATGCTTTGTTCTTTATGAACTTAAATTCAAGTTTACACAAAGAAAATAAATTGTGAAAACATTGTGAAATTTATATATATATAAAAAGTATGGACAACCTGAAAGAATAAAATAAGCTTACAACTGTTTTATACCTCAGTCTGAGGATTACAAGTACATTTGTCTTGGAATATCCATTAAAGTAAATATCACAAGTGAATCATATCAGTGATTTTTCTCACTTAATTGGGAAGAGGCCTGAGCCTCTTGATTTTGGGAAAAATTATCGCTAAAATTGCTGATTTGGGAAGTAAAAAAGCTGGTTTAAGTTCAGATTTTTGGGAAAACTGCATGATTTTAAAGAAAATTTCAATTGGGAAGAGGCCTTTTTTCGTAGTCTGTTATATAAGTAGGAAAATCACTGCATATATAAAAGATTGTTATAATTGAAATATAATGACAAACATTTAAGTTCAGATTATGCAGGAGTTTTATCTCCATCCTGAGATTTTTTGATATGACTTCGTTTTTTCTTTGCTGCAAGCTCTGCCTCTATCCTTCTTTGCTCCTCCTCTTCAGCACGCTTCTTAATTTCCTCTACTTCGTCCAAAAACTGTAAAACAACAAACATGTAAATGTTTAAGAAGATACATAACATAACTGCACACAGCTGATAAACCTTTTAAGCTAACTTATGAAAGATAGGTGGTTCTACACTATTGCCTGCTTGAATAAATAAATACAAGCAGAGGTCTTCTACTGTGTTGCCTCCTGACCAAACTCCTCACAGTGATTACCTCCCTTGGCAGAATTGTAATCACTGCCTTCAAAGACGTCACATGATGATGAAAGTCACATGACGTAACGTCGAAATTCAAATGTAAATATCGACCGTTACAAAGAAAATCTAACGTTATTTTTCTCTTTCTGTTTTATTTTTAACTTTTTGTGCCTACGTTCGATATAGTTTATCAAAAAATTATCGAAAGTATACAAAATAACGAAAAATAAACTCAAAAGCTAAAAAATATAAAATATCAAAATATCGTCTCGGTAGAAAATAATCTCATAATTTTTAAAATTATTTCTAAATATTCATATTATTTATTTATTTATTCATAAACATTGTTAAATAAATGAGAGAAAACTAATATCTGATATATAAAAGCAGTAGATAAAACAATTTTTGAAAAAATATAGAATATCAGAAATTCTGATATATCGGGACCTTGGTGGCAGAGATCTACGCCGAAGAATTAAGGGGAGATCACTGTGTGGAGATTGCCTCCTGACATGTCTGTAATTATGCAAATGGTCAAGTTATGAAAAAAGTCAAATTAAGGGTATGCAAACAGCCAAAGAGGGACACACAGGATCTTTCACCATAAATGCTTAATTTGCTAAACTTTCTATCATAAATGTTAATAATATATTTGATTTTTGTTTTTATCAAATCAAAATAAACATTATCAAAAAGAATTTAAAATTGGTACAAGACAAAAGGAATGAAAGTCTGATAAATTGCAGTACAAATCTTAATTTTGGTCACTTTAACATATTCATGTAAAAACAAAACTGAAACCATTTGGATTATTTAAATACACTAACATAAAAAAAAGAACAACAACAACAACAAAAAACAAAAACAAACAAGGGGGTCATTGGTCCCGAATTGCTCACCTGAGGATACACTGTTATTTGTGTAAAGCCAGCAAAATCTAGTGTTTATAACAACAATTTTAATTAGACCATACTTTATGCAAAATATATTTTTTTAATTTATTCCTTATACATTGTCCTTTTTTCATAGCTGTAAATACATCAAAACAAGAAAGTAGGTCACTAGGTCAATATTTAAATCAGCTGATACCAAAGTTCATTTTTACATCTATAACACAGTACACATTGTCCATATTCCATAGCTGTACATTAAAGGACAATAAAGTAGGTCATTTTATCAAAATATAGGTCAGCTGATATCAAAGTTCAATTTTACATCTCAAACTGTGCACATGATTATTTTGACAATCTTGTTAGAGGTTCACTACACAATGTTTCATGCCAAATATTTAACCTCTAGCCTTTGTCATTTCAGAGAAGAAGATTTTTTAAGTTTTTACTATATACATATAAGGAAAACATATGAGGCAATTTTGACACTAGACACAAAATTGAACATCTTTGGTAGAGGACCTACAGATGATATCATATACCAAATATCAAAGCTCTGGGTCCTGTACTTTCAGACAAGGAGATTTTTTAAAATTGCATTTTTGAAACTTCATTTCTGTTATCTAGTATACCCAATTTTCAGAATATATCATTGCTTTCATGGTTATCCCTGGTTAGAGGAAAGCTTTTAGCATAGAAATGGTTCAAATTTTATATTTTTGAGCATAAATTTAAAATTACCTCTGGTTTTCTTCTACTTTTCTTGTCTACAAACTCTTTAAACAAACTCACACCATGCATTGTAGCTAGTTCATTGTTCTGCAAATGAAATTCACAAAGATTTTAAAGTTGTTAAATTTTAGAGCAAACTTTAAATTGTACACAAAAACATATATATTATAGTCTCTTTATCATCGGTGTGCTTTAATAAGAGGCTCTTCCGAGGGTTAAAAGAAGAACCCCATTGTTTAAATATGAGGTTGTTCAATATTCTTAGAATAAGAACAAGATGTTTCTTTTACTTGACCCAAAGAGGGATCCATGAAATGGTGCTTCATAACAAGTTTGATTGACAGACTAGGAAAATCATCCAACCATGGTAATAATAAAAAATTCTTTTACCAAATTTCAATATTTTCTTCTTCACAATTAACTAAAGTAGATCTCAAACCATTGGTTATTTAAAATTTGGTTCACATCAGAAGACCATTCCAAATAATTTAAACAATCTACAAGGATGAAAGACTGACTCCACAATGTAACTTACAAAGACAGTGTTTCCTGAGTGAGTGAGTGAGTGAGTGAGTGAGTGAGTGAGTGAGTGAGTGAGTGAGTTACAAAGAAGATGGCAAAAGAAGTGAAGTTGATACAAGACTAAGACTCGATGAACACTTTTCCAGTAAGGTACAAATTTTATTGTACAAAAATTATAACATTTTTTTTCAAGCTCTAGTGATTTTATAAATTTACTTACCAGACCTTTACTCATTTTCTTAGCTTCAGACATTTCTTTATCTTTCAGTTCTTTGGGATCCATTAATGGTTCATCAGCATCACGCTTTTGCCATGATTTTGGGTCAAGATACCAAGCTCCATATTTAAACTTAACCCAACTTGGTTCATACTGGCCAGAATATTGCTGCAATACATATATTTAAAGATGGTAAAAATTCATTTAAAGAAAGTAAAATAATCCCTATATACTAAATGCTTTTATACTAAAATGAAAAAAAGAAATAATTTTGCAGTTACTGTGTAAATTATTATCACATTGTTTTCCTTTTTCAATGTATTCTGGTCATTTCATATTAATTGTTTATACTTCATACCATTTCTAGGTATATGTCTTTAAGACAATGTCTAAATTCAACACTGCATTTACTTACTTTAATCTTGACCTTTTAGGATAGGTATTTTAGTATGCTCCAATTCAACACTGCCTTTACTACTTAATTTTGCCTGGAGCATTTATGCTCCACTTGTAAGACAAGGTTTACCAAATATAACCCACCTAATACTAGTAGAAGGAGAAAAAATCCATGTCTTATAACCAAGTAAATAATTTCTAAATACCATGTAATTATACATGAACAATCACTTTCTTCTGAAGAAAAATTTACTTAAATCTATTTTTATATAAAATTGACCTTTAACCCTAATGTTAACTATTTTGTAATGAGTTATGACCTGTTTGGAATCTTGTACTGTCCTTATTTCATAGGTTTTCAATATTAAAAACCTTACATAAAGACAGAGCAAATGAAACAAAATCATGACCAGCTTCACTTTATTCCTACCAGTTTCACTTTAATTATTCTCAAGTGGCAAATGAAAATCATTTTGCCACTTAATTAGCATTCAAAAAGAGACCATTCATGTTCCATACAGTTAGATTGAACTAAGGAAAAATCAGCTACTTTTTAATAAAATAAAATTTTGAATCCGTTCTATCTTATAAATTTAAAAGGATATAAATTTTGTAAACAATATAAATTTGGAATAAACTCTTTCATAAAAACTTTGTTTAAATTTATGATAACAAATTTGTCTAAATTACAATGTGGCCTGAGAATTTTTTTAAAAAGTACTATAAGTGATAAAAGACATGATCCTTGTGAAGTGTACAAATGTATCTAAAAGTGAACTTAGAAATCTATAGGTCTGTGAACTAATCTCTTTGGAAACAGTGATTTTTTATTTTCATCTTTTATTATATTATTTTTTCTTTCTGAAAAACATTTCAGCATTAAGTGTAGTAAAGCAATTTCCTTTCAAGACTGTGATAGAAACTCATTTCTTTCAATAAAACATAAACAGCTTACGCCTTTCTGCCTCTTGAACTTAACTTTACTAATGTCATTTTAGAAAATAGGATTTCTAATTCTAGTAAAACTAATGGGACATAGATCATGATTTAATTTCCTTAACCACTAACCTACCTTACTCCCTCACAACCTTTAACTTACCAACAATGAAACTTCATGTAATGGACTACAAGTAGTTCCTACGAACACTTTTCAAGAGTGAACAGTAACTTTGGATACACTATGTGCAAACAACAAGTTAGTCATAATATTCAATGCCCTTATTCAAAATTGCTAACAAATAGAGTTTTGCTTAAATTATCTTTAAAAACTTTTGACCTTCAAGGTCAGTGATATTCAGTGGTCAAGGTCAAATTTCAATTCAGAGGTATGCAACATCAAAGTATGGAATGAAGACCCTACATTTTATACTTAAGCTGTTATATAAGAAAATTCATTGTTGTCCATTTGTTGATGGATTGACAGGCAGGACAAAATCTTCACATGTCTGCAGATCAATTGATAAGAGGGCCATGAAAACTGACAATTTGACAAAGACATTTGACTATAAGCTATGTGAATGGAATCATTTGTGAAGATGAATATTAATGGTAGTGTTGTGACAAGAAGGTTCTACTTATATATCATAATAAGTTAAATACCTCTAATTTTTTAGGTTTGAGCTGAAACAAACAAATAATAGTATTTCTATCATAAATAGACTAGATGATAATATTTTTTTTTGTAAAAATGGCTCTGTTAAGAAAGATACACAAGGAAGAAATAAAGAACGATATACATATGTAGCATAATAAACATATGGAAAGTTCTACAAACAAATTCACTGTTGCTTGCAAATCTTTATTTCTCTAACTTTTCTGATCTTGAAAATAAAATACCAAAATCTGATAATAAAAATCAATTAATTTATATAAAATACATTTTTTTTTCAATTATTTGTGGCATACTTCGATCAAGATAGTATTTGCATAATCCATTTTAGTCAAATTTTCATTAATTAAATAACTTGGTACAAATTATGTTTCATAATCCTTATAAATCTATATTCATAGCTAGCTGTCATATAAATTTTACTTTAACTAGTGTTATATATCATGCTTTTGTTATCATTATCATTGTTGTTGTTGCTGTTGTTATCATTATTCCTATTATTATGATTATCATTATTAATATTATAATTATCATCATTAATATTATTAGAACTATTCCTTTTTTATGATTATTTTCAATCCTGAAATTAATGAATTTAGTTAAAATTTCATTATTTTTAACTTACCCATTCTTTCTGTTGAATTTATATAGTTGAGAAAAAGATAAAGAATTTCAATTAAATCTAATGCTTGAATCTTTTTATCTATTATAGAAAAAAAAGAAAAACAATTTACAAAATTTCCTGAAAAAGTCTCTATAAAGACCTATATTGATAATTTGTTTCTACAATTTTTAGCTAGGATACAACACACACGAAAATACAATACAAGTGCATACTCAAAAACTCCTTTGTTAGAGAAAATATCTTGTTTTCTAAAAGCTAAAATTTTCCGAGTACAGATAACAAGTTGATTATTACTTTAAGTATACTAATATAAAAATTTGTATCTGAAACAAGGATTGATATAACAAAGATTTAGTGTTCAATAATTAGCTAGAGTACATGACTGCATAATCTAACATTTGCAGGCAATTTAAATGTAAATTTTTGAATAAACTTAAAACACTACAGAATTAGGAAAATGTCAACACTCCAACCTGGAGTAACCACAAGAGGTCTATTATCCTCAGATCTACCTACAGAACTATCTTAAGGTGTATGCAGGCCTAATTTTATTACTTCTGCTCTTTTTTATTTTGTGCTTTTTCCCATTTTTCAAATTCAATTAAAATATATCTAATCCTTTTTTCGTTGGCACCAGTATAAAACATATCAATATTAAACTGAGTGATAAATCTACCACTTTGGTCAAGAACAGTATCACAAATTTGTGATAATTCAATAACTACTACCAAAATGGGTCAATTTTCTCTCTAGAAGATTACTTTTTTACATGTATCATTCTCTTAGTTTGTCAATTACATGTATATTCTGTCCTGGTACATTGCAATCAAAATGTTTATACAATATTTTTTCCAACTATAAACACATATTTATGTTTCTAAACATGCACTGTTAATTTGAACCTAATGTATAAAGACAGATTTTTGCACTTCATTTTTGTTCTTCATTCTAAATATTGGATACATCATTTTTATCTGCTGTAAAATGACAACTTTAATATTATGTTTGAACCTACCCAATTTGTTTTCTTCATCTCTTCCTGTGGCAAGTTTTTATTTTGTTGAGATTGTTGTGGTACTGTTGCAGACATTCGTAACTCTGGTGGAACATTTGTAAGTTCTACAACATGGATAGGTACTGAGAGAGCCGGTTTTGTCTCGTAACCACTCGCAAACAGACTGGTTATAGTACTTTCTTCTATGTTATTACTCTGACCACCAAGACTGGCAACCCAGTCACAAAACTCCTTTGTGACTTTTTTAATGTGCTCTTCCTGAATATATATGAAAAAATGAATACATGGCTACATATTTGATAAATGTTATATGATTTTTATTATTTATAAATAAACTGTTTACACTCTTGATGACATTAGGGACAAGGGGGATATGCATCAGTATGGGCTGTTGTCAAAACTCTTAAATTTTTACTCGGGCAAAAAAATTGCTATATAATCAAAGTACAACTTTTTTTTTTAAATGGTAAAAATTAATTGATAAATTTAAGTTGTCCAAAAGTTATGGCCCCTGAGAAATGGAAAAAATGAGAATTAATTATTGTCAGATCAACAGTGAAGCATATATAGTTAACTTGCTTAGCCTACAATATATCAATTTCATTTCAATAACAGACAATTACACACCTGTGAGGTATCAGTTGGTTTTTCACCAGCTTTCTTTTTATTCTTCTTTTCTTGCTCTTCTTTCTTGGAAATCCATTTATATGGGTTACGTACAACTCCTTCTTCCGTCCTATAATTTATAAATACTTAATATAAAATATATACATGCTTTCTATAATCTGAATGACAATGTTAAACAATTTTGTCTGTGACCCTAGATTTCTAGGTTGAGAGGCAAATACCTTAAGCACAGGTTCAAATGGAATAATTTTTTTCAAAACAAATTAAAGGTCTGAAACTTATCTAAATAAAATCTATGAACATTTTTTGTAACACTGAATATATGTCAAAGAAAGTAACAAGGGAATGAAATAAAATATTCTTTTAAATGAACAATGTATATCAATTTCAAAAACACATCATTTAAAATAAAATCCATTTAAATTTATTCTAAAATTTACCCTGATACAATCCTTTTTACATGTCAAAAGGTAACAAGAGCAGACATCTTTCAATTCCTAAATTTCAAAGAATTTCATTAATCAACAAAAATTACTTTTTAACACATTACAGGTCTTTTTATGGGTGATCAAACAACATAATATATAACCAATGGTTTAAACCAACACAATAAATCGCTTTATAAATCCATATACATGTACAACATCCATAATACATGATATCACACTATACATGTACTGCATATCAAAACAATATATAAATATTGTGTGCTATAAATGTCCACCTCACCATCTACTCCAGTTTGACCTCCATAAACTGGACTGAAATACCCTTGACTTTGTTCTAGACCTGATATTTTTCCATTAAATAAATTCATAACAATATACAGTCAATGTCAACAAGTAAACATATTGGAAACATAGTTTTCAAACAAACCTAATGTGAACATCATTTACAATCCACCCTATAAAAGCCATTCAGTAGATAAGTATTAAAATCTTAGAAAAAAATAATCATTCATTTTTTTATCACATTTAAAGTGCAGGAACTGAAATTGCATCAGAGTTGTGATAGCACAATAGGTAGATTTCTCCTTTAGCAATTATACTCTCTTTAAAATTTGAAATATTCTAGAATAAAAGTCAAGTTTATATACAAATATGTTGAATGACATTGGATTATGATGCCCAAAATTGATATGTACATTTCCTAAATATCATTGAACCCTTCAACAAAAATTTGTACAATATATTGTGTTTTCCAAGTAAGTGCTGAGAAGTTTGGTAAGTGAAAGAGAAGGGTGTGATTGTAAGGTTTTTTTCTCTTTAATATATTATATGTACATGCAGATAATCAGGTGAAGCTATAATCTTTTGTTAAAAAAAAAGAAGCCAAAACTCTAACATACAAAAAGAAATCTATTAAAAACTTTATGGGCCATAATGACTTTGCAGGTATCTACTGTATATCTTTTTAACTTCTTTCTAAATATTTAAATATTCAAATGTAATTCTGCATTGTTTAACTGATAAATAAATGAAAAATGCCAAAATATCTAATTTCCCTAGCTCTTGTAATAGAACTTTTTAAAATTTATCAAACAAAAATATAATTGTATCACTTAATTAAAGTGACTTTATAAAACTGCCCCAATTTTTTAAAAATTTGAATGTTACTAATACATTGCAAATGAAATTTATAGAAATTTTCAAAGATTTATTTTTCTTGCATTTAAAATATATAATTAAACATTTATTACAAAAGGTAGTTATTTTGACTTTTACTTGTGAGCTCACCATTTCCACTTGGATGGGCATGCAAAAACTGACTTAGGTAAAAGGTGTAAATATGTAATGAAAGTTAAAACATACTCTCTTAATTCTGTTTTTGTGTCTTCATCCCTTGAGATGTCACCAGTTTGTTGTCTATCACTGTCAGCACTAACTCTATCTTCATTTTCATCCTCATCTTCTTCTGCCAGTGAACCTTCTTCATCATCAATCAAGTTCATCTCTGGGTCCAAAATGTTCATTATATCTTCAAACAGCTGAAAACAAAATGCGGAGGTTTTTACTTTTAATAAATGCTCTTTTTTCTATCCAATTTTTTTAGCAATCAGCATCTCAAAACCTTGAAATTATTATGAAGCATAAAATACATGAAAACAAAATGTTCTCATTGATTAACTTTAACTTGGAGTATTTGTATGCATTCTGATGGTCTTTCCACATTGGGGGACTTTACCATTTTTATTTATATTTTCTGAACTCCACTTAAAACAACAGTTTCAGCTAACCCTTTCCATTTTTTTTGGCATTCAGAATTTTGAAATTCCTTAAAAATTTAACATTTACAATCTGACAATCCATTACATGATATAAATAATAAGAAAAACTTACCTCAGGGTTTACACTTTCTTCTAGATGAGGATATAGAGCAAGTGGATGCTGTGTAAGTCCATATTCTATCTGGTTGATATGTTCCCGCCTCTGTTGTTGTAGAGGTGTCAGCCGAGAGTAACATATCTGATGTTTATTGAACCGTTTTCGTACTGCTGGCTGTTTTACATCTGACAAATTTTCACTTGAATTTTTTATAGTTGGACCTGGACCTTTAGTAGACTGAAATAAATAAACATGACAATGCTTAGTATAATGTAGAGCATGAATGAGACAAGCATTTTGGTCAAGTTAACAGAACAGTCAAGAGTGATAATAATTCTTAAAGCTTTCTTTTGATAAACTGTTCTAAATTTAAATGAGGACATGTCCATATTATATAAATTTAGCTTATAAAACTTGCTGACATACATGTACTTAAGCCAATTTTTATATATACATGTGGCGATGCCCACTCGTATTCAAAATTGGGCATAATAGTTTGGTACCCATTTCTTTCAAATCTAAGATCTTGAGGCATTTGCAGAGTCCAAAAGTATTTTTTTCTAAATCATTTATGTACACTCACAGTATTTGAAACAAATGTAGTTGTAACATCTTTGAATTATTATAATATTGAACATTCTACCTTATTAGCATCATCAAATGCTGGTGCACAAGGTAACTAACTACCAAAATAGTAGAAAAAAGATCTGGTATTTATATATATTTCAACACTGGTAACAGGATGCAACAAGTTTACCTTCAATGTTATATCACCCTCAACTGGGGGAGGCAATCCATCTCTGAAGTCATCCAGACCATCTTTAAGAAACAACCAATTCTTTCCTACCAGATTTTTGTCAGTTTCAGATGGTCTTCTTGCCTTTATATACTTTGTTTGTAGACGTTCTTTATACCTTGAAAAAAAATCAAAAAAATTATAATAGATCTGTAAATTGTTTCACTTAAAAACTGTTTAATAATAATGAATAAAAAAATAAAATTCTTTTCAGTTTTTGACAGTTAATAATAATGATCTGATATTTAAAAGGTAACATTTTATTTATTTCAATATTCAAAAAAACTTTATCACATTACCCCAAATATATTTATCAACACTTTATGAATAACTTATCTCATAATAATTATACAAAGAAACAATTATTAAATAAAACAAAAAACCCGACCCCGATACTTTGTATATTATTGCCACAAAGAAAGAATTACTGGTTCATCAAAGTTCGAAAACTGGTCATCATAATGTAGCAAATTCAATAAAAATTAGAAAAAAACAAAAAAAGAAAGAGAGAGAGAGAAAGAAAGAAAGAACATTAATTTTCTAACAATCATACCGTGGGCTATCCCCTGTCCTTTCTAAATCAGGTGGGGTCTGCAAATGACCCCAAGGATTAAATAGTTCAGGAGCTGCACTACTCATACGAGAACAAATATCACTCTCCCTATCTGAAGTATCTTCAGCACTACTACATTTAAAGGTGAAGAAAGAAACACATTACAGAAGAAGAAAGAAAACAAAAGTGCAAAGTTAAAGAAAGAAACAAAAACAATAGATTAAAAAGAAAAAAAATAGAGAAGAGTAAATTAAGATAAGAAAATGGTAGATGTATTAGAAAGGCAGAAAACCAGCTGTTATTGTTGCAAATTGATAATTGAGAAAAGAAATGAGACATTGCACGATGCTCCTTTTGTCAGCACTTAAAACATATAATAAATAGTAACAACTTTTGTTTTTCCAACAATGTTAGTTCTGGCTTCCATAACTTTATATGTGGCTTTTATTTTAATGTTGTGCGGTACTATAAAACCTATTAGTCTCTTTAGCTTCAACAATGCAAGCTCTAAAACAAGAGAAAATCTGACACAGATGGTGTTTGCTTTAAGTAGTAATCAGATCAGGATTTCCATTGTATTTCTACACTGTCAGTTCTATTTATAATCATTATACAGATAACTGTTTCATAGATTAGCCACATGTTTATTTTAATTATAACAATGTGACTTGTTATAAAATTTATGAATCAATGAATAAAAATTACTGATACCAAGTGACACATGACACATTTAAGGGAGACTGTTTGATTCATCAGGCATGTATATGATAAACATTGTAAATAATGTTCCTGGATGTCATGTTTTATCCACATACTGCCATGCAGTTTTCAATCACAACCACTTTTCAATCATCCCTCGAATTTTTTTATTTTTAACCTTATTCGTCATGTAACCAAACTGTAAGCACATCTTGTATTCACCTTGACTAAATTTATCAGCAGCAATGTCAATTATGGCGATAAAAAAAAGAAAATGCTAGCATTTTAGTTCAAAATATGTAAAATGTGTGTTTTCCAATAATCCTAAATTATTTACCCAGTTACAAATCGCAATAATTTTCTAAAAATAATTGATTTACAGACTCAGTTTTTTGTCAGTCTGCAGAAATGGATATTAAGTTGGACAACTGTTTCAATATCATGAAGTCATTAATGTATACTGCACTTCAAAAGCTGTAATTTTAATATGTACATATTTTACCATACAGTTCTTAATTGGAAGGTAATACATCAGTAAAGTAACTGTGAGTCACTTAACCAAGGAAAAACATTCTCTGTGATAACTTTTCAGTAAGCAGTCACTAGAATGGGGTCATATAGACCCTAAGATCCTAAAAATTTCACACAAGAACATGCTTTTTCTGTTATGCAAATTGAAATGTACATCCATACCCCAATTGTGACAGCCTTACCACTGCAAATAGATATCTAGATTGAAAACTGGCATTATAATTAGGTTAAAATTGTTTATTACCACTTATCTGAGGTTGAGTTTGTCAAAATTTTTCCAAAATACAGAACTAATTATATTTTAACATTGTATGACAATTTTTATGTGGTACAGTTTACATTTTGTTAACTGATTGAAAAGTGGTTGTGAAATTTTGAAGAACAGGAAAAATTGGGTCAGTAATGATTTGTCCTCGATTCATAGTAATAATTCAAGTAAAATTTTAAAAAGTTGGTGCATTTATTAGCTGAAATGATAATATTCGCAGAATTGAAAGAGAATTTTTTTTATATATAATTTCACTGTCGGTTATTGTTGAAAAATTTGTTAGTTGATCGGAAAGAGGCAGTACGGGGATATATTTCTTATGATAAAACATTGTCTGCACATTGGACTGGATAGAGAAAATGCCTATGCGTAATCGGTCATAATTAGTCCAACTGATTTATATCGAAGAAACGTCATCATAATTTTGGTTCAATCTTATAATGATTTGACAATGGAGAAAAGTCTGCAAAATCTTTAAAACTATTATAAAGCCAAATTAATTTGGTTAACCCTCCATTCGCTCTTAATTAGCAATCAAATTAGACATATACACAAATCACAAAGACATATTAAAGCCTTTTGTTAAAAGTTATATTTATAATGCATACACAGGAAGAACTTTTCACACTCATTCACTTATCATACCATGGTTTTTGTTGTATTTTCTTATCTGTAACAGTGTTTACAAGTGCAAGGTTGTATTTTTGTTCCGCCAAAGACATCTTGTCAGCGATCGGACTAGTTAAAGAAAATAGCAAATCCTTTACATAACCACTAATTTAATTTTGACCAAGGTCCTTAATTATTTAAACTTGAAATTGTACAAATAAACTATGAAAATTAAAAATAAAAAACTGTATCCTTGGCGACTTGTATACAAAGCTCCTAATGAGGGAGATTTAATTACTAATTTAATGACGAATATATTTTTTGTCGCAGAATAACAGGCCATCCATCCATTTATCCATCCATCCATTCATCCATCCACATCAACATAAGTATGTTCTGCACACATTTGAAATGAGGATACTGATAGTGGTTATATATCTTTGTTAATACATATAGAAGTTATGTTACACTCTACACACTAAAACACAGTATGATAACAACGTGTTGATAGACAAAAAATCACTGACCAGAAATAGGGAATCCCACTTGCAAAAAAAGTCTCTACCTTCTCTTATTTGAATTAAATTGGGAAATAAGAATTTCCTTAATAAATCTGTACATTTCTGCATAGAAAGAATTTTTCCCAAAGATGAGTCTACAGTGGTATATCTATAAACAAATGTAAAAAAATGTACAAAAAGTTACAATGTTTTTTTTATAGAGATTTCTTTAATATAGAAATGTATACTTTTCTACCAGATATGCATGTTAAATAACAAAATTTATTTGACCCATTTCTTTTAAATTATGACACCCATTTCTTATATATCATGAACAATTATACCAAACTCAACTCTGCCTAGTATGACATATGTTATCAAAATCGTATTTCATTTATTTATTTATTTTTTTTTTTTGCAAGTGACGATGTATGATTTATGTGAATGAAATAATCTACACTGCATATACAGTAATAGGGAAATTCACATTAATGATATTATGTAATGTAATGTAGTATTCAGACCAGAACATCATCAAGGATGCTAAGCTGATTAGTCGATTCAGAGACAGCTATGATCGAGATACAAGGGAATCCGAGAACCAGTCCCTAGCTCTTATTGAAAAGGCCCCTTGGTTCTTTTACATGCCCAGTGTATAGCACTGATACATGCAAGGATTACCTGAACTTCTTACCAGGACACCTCTAGTTAGATGGGAAACACTGAAAGTGTCTCTGAAAAATCCCAACCCGGGACCTCGGGAGCTAGTGACAGCCAGTGGTCTAAGTTCTAACCAACTGAACTATCACTCAGTAATAATAATATTAAATATCTGAGTATTTTTTCTCAAGATAGATTTGATCTGGGTATATATTTTGTGTAATATATACGTCATTGATTTGACTATAAAAGGGTTAATCCATCCAACAATGTTTTAGACGATAACGATATTTAACATATTGACCAATACGATACAAAATGGCTGACACTGTTGACTCCGAAGCGGGAAGTGATGGCAATTTTATATCAAAATTCGTGTCAGAATTGATTTCAAGTCCATTAAACTTAGCGTTACTTGGACTATGTGGTTTTCTTTTGTATAAGATTATAATGGGCCAGAAGAAGCAAGAACCTGTACCTCCTAGAGAACCTGAATTGGCAAAGTTGAAAAAACAAGATATGACCCTTGAACAGTTAAGAGAATATGACGGAAAAGGACCAGATGGTAGAATATTATTGGCAGCAAATGGGAAAGTGTTTGATGTTACCCGAGGCAAACGTTTTTACGGACCAGGTATACTGATGTCGTATGGTTATTAGAGAATCATATCCGAAAATTTGTTTGGCCGAAAATATGAAAGTTTTAAATTTTATTGTGCCTTGCATAACTGATAAAGCCAACACGAATATGTCTTTATGATGTTTATATTTATTAAAATACAGGTTTTCTGTTCTCAAGTTAAGTGTGAAAAATCATTTTCTTTTAATGATACTAAATTGGTTTTGGGCCACATCATCACATCTCAGTTTGTTTCAAGGTAGCACTCCACAGTAAATTTCAAGTTTGTGTCGTCAATGCCCTACAAGCAATGTGTCTGATAATTCTGATTCCAAAATACCTGGAAAAAGAAAACATGTCTTGTTGGTAACATACATGTCAAAACATTGCAAATCTATAATGAAATTATCCATGTGCAATAGTCAGTCAGTAAAAAAAATTGCAATTCAATCCGTTAGAGCCCAAAATCTACTGTGGTCCAAGACTGAAAACAACACGTTTTGTCCCTCTGGCAAAAAATACCTGCAAATATACGGGCTACAGAAACACTGTCTCTACTTTAGCAACTCCCTATACATGCAAAATATCACAAAGAAACATGTCCTCAACCTTGTCGATTTTTTGCTACTGCTGAAAGTTTGCACCCCCCTGTAAAATGACTTGTTTTTACACACCAGCCTGTTTAAAAGCAATGTTTACAAAAAATGGCGGCCTTGACATCTATAATCAACAGCATGTGATTTCTGGCCATGTTTTCGAATTTGCAAGTGATCATATTAGATGCCTCAAAAACAAAGTTCATGCTATAAAATGCACATTAAAGACAACCAGTCATTTAAATCCAGAATAGTCACTATATCCAACAAATCCTCCCTGGCCATTCGAAGCTGTGGCTTCAATTACTGTGGTTTGCTACCTCAAGATAGATCTAGATCTACAGTACAGTGTCTTGTTGATTAATTTTTGCAATAATAAAAAAAAACCCAAATCAAGAAAATTTGATCATTATTTGTTTTTAGTATCATGAATTAGTTTTATACTGACATATTTAAATTTCAATGAGGTATTAACAACATTTTTCAGAAGGAAAAACAATTTATCCGGTGCACAACTCCTACATTTCTCAAGGGATTTTGACCAAACTTTCACACAAGCTTTGTCATCAAGTGTCCTAGTAAATGTTGTCGGGGTTTTGTCATCCGATAATTTTTTACCTTTTTATGGCCCTTTGGTTTTTTTTCTTTTTCAATTTTTTCTTTGCATAACTCCTACAAAGGATTTTGACCAAATTTTCACATAAGCTATGTCATCAAGTGCCCTAGAGCATATTGTCAGGGTTTTGTGATTCAATAGGTTTTGACGTATTTATGGACCTTTATTTTTTCCATGTAAATTAATATAATATAATATAAATATAGTCATAATAATAGTGTAATATCCTTTTAATCACAACTACTACATTAAACCAAAATTTATATTTCAACCTCCAGCGTATTGAGGGGTTAAACCCCTCTTTAATAAATTATTTAACCCCTCTTTATCAAGGAGTTTGCTGTTTATTTTATAAATCACATATATTTATTTTCTTATCTTACAGACAAGTATTAACAATGTATCCGGTGCTCTTGTTTTTCCAAATGTTTATCAAATATGTTTAGGTTGTATCCACAAGACCCTTTTCCTCGCTATATTTATTGTGACAATACCAGTTAGTATTGTGAATCTATTAATTCATCACATTTCAGGTGGTCCTTATGGTTTATTTGCTGGACGAGATGCTTCAAGAGCACTTGCTACTTTTTCAATGACTGAAGATGTTTTTCGTTGTGAATATGATGATTTGTCTGATCTCACAAGTATGCAGATGGAGAGTGTTCGTGAATGGGAAATGCAGTTTACAGGTAATAATGAGGGCCATAAAAGAAATGATTAGTACCTACCTCTTGATAAAACAGTGTAAAGCTATATGGGGCTAGAACTCAGATTATTACTGAAATTTATCAAATGATATATAGTTAAGACAAAGATAGGAAGAAAACTTGTTGAATTACACGTTGATAGAATAATGTTTGTAAATTTCTGATCATTTACTTTAGTATGTGACTCATGAGTCATGTACTAAATCATATTTAAACCTACTAATATAGTAATTTATTTGTTTGTTCCATAATGTTTTTTTCTCTACTAGATTGCAAGATATATAATGGACATTTTGTCTGTCTGCCTTTCCTTTAGCTACAATGTACTCTTATAGATCAAGCAATAAATGCCATAAATGATTTTGTGCCTGGGATCTTACCAAGTTCTGAGGGGTTGTTGGAAATGCAATGGAGGGGGGACTTACTGGAAATGATTCTCTGTAGCCCTTTTCATATGATGCCCTGTGATGTTCCCTATTCAGTTGCCTAATGATTAGTGGATCACTCATCCCTTCCCCTCATTCATATGCATCAAGTGCAGTGTGTCAATAAGTAATTGGCAAAGTAGTGAAATGCAGGGTGGGATAAACTTTTCAAGTTTTATCTTACAAACTTCAACAGTTAATCACAGGTTATAGACAACATTACAGACAAGATTACAGTTATTATAGACAACCATCTTAATTTTATTTTGTAATTTTCTCTTTCCAGAAAAGTATGATTATGTAGGTCGATTACTGAAGCCAGGTGAGCAGCCAAGAGATTATTCGGATACGGAAGATGAGCAGGGGGATGATTCTAAAGATAAGACAGATTCAGAAAAAAAGAAAGACTAGCATCATTGGTTTATATTATCAATTATGGACTAACATGAGTGTTAGATTGGCGAAAAATGTGATACATTATTTGTGTAAATCACTGACACATAGAAATGGTACCCTGTATTATAGATGGATGTTTAATTTGATTGTATTTAAAGTTGACACACATATTCCATTATTACAAATATGTATATACAGTGGGGAAGCTTTTTTTTAAAGTTAATTTTACAGGTCTTTTGTATCTATATATTTTGTTAGTTTTCCATTGGTTTGGTAAGTATCATTTTCTAGGTGATTTGAAAGTAAGGTTTAGATAGAATTCATTCCAAATATGTCATTAATTAGATTTAATTATAGTAAGATACCTTATTCTAGTCATGTTTAAAATGTTTTCTTATCTCTCAGTTATAGCTATTACATTTGTATGTTGAAGGTTCCATATAATGGAAACTAGTGAGAGAGACCTTGCTTGATTATATTACAGCATAAAGTGTAACTTCATAATACTTGTTAAAGCTGCATGCCTCCAAATGAGCAAAAAGATTTCAGTAAAATCAAACTTGAGAAAACTGTACTAAGATTTTGAGAAAAGTAAAAAGATTCAAGGTGAAAGTGATAATTTACTTTTTATGTGCGATTATTGACTGACATTGAAGTATTAATCACCATATTTCTACCGCAGGACTAATGCAGTAAGGGCTATTTTTGCATATTTTGACCTCTTTTTTTTGTGTAATTTATGGATTGTAAATGTAAGGGTAAGATTTTTATGAAAATTAGCATGGAGGTGAAGGCATGCTGCTTTAAATACAACATAATTGAAATGGGGCATTCTTATTTGTGTTTATTTAGAATGCTTTAATGAATAAACATGTCTTGTTTTTTTTTAAAGTATTTTAACTCTGAAAGATATCTTAGATATCACAGAATAAATGCTTAAGTGTTGTATATGTTTGAAGTGCCATATGGTGTTTGAACTATAATATTTTAGACTGGAAGGGTGTTGTTTTTATAATTGGTACAACAACAACAACAATATCTTGGTAAATCTTGTTATGGAACTTAGCAAGTATATTTCGTCACCTTTGTGCAATAATGGGTTAACTCCTATTAAAATAATTAAATTATATAAGGAGTTTATCTATTACTGCACTAAGGTGACGATTTATATATATGAGCCGAGTCATGACAAAACCATTATAATGGGTTTGCGACCAGCATGGATCCAGACCAGCCTGCGCATCCGCACAGTCTGATCAGGATCCATGCTGTTCGCTATCAGTTTCTCTAGTTGTAATAGGGTTTGTAAGCTGTTTGTAAACCCTATTACAACTAGAGAAACTGATAGCGAACAGCATGGATCCTGATCAGACTGCGCGGATGCGCAGGCTGGTCTGGATCCATGCTGGTCGCAAACGCATTATGTTGGTTTTGTCGTGACGCGGCTCATATGTATGCTTTTTCTGTCAAATTTCACTAAGCTATTTCTCATTCCTTATCTAGAGAAAAATCAGCCTACACAATGAAGTATATAATATGGTAAAATCTTCTTACTTTAATGTGTATAAAACTATATATCTGCTGCCTGTAGTTAACAGAGTTATTGTTTGAATTTTGAAAAAGAATAATTCCAGAATACCTGTATGAAAGAGGTATGTTTGTATATTTTCTTATGATCGAATGATACCTGCACAAAATCATGTTTCATAAGTTAAATCCTTACTCAAAAGATCAGCATAATATTTTGTCATGGAACATTTTATTCTGTTTATACACAATATTCATGCAGGGCTTCCACTAAGTTCCAAAATTTGGAAGTCACACTATATAGATAAAGAAGAATAAGAATGACATTTTAGAAGTCACAAGCCAAATTTAAGGAGTAAAATGACTCCCAGAGTTCCATTAACGGAAGCCCTGTGTTTGTTAAATAAGAGACATTCTAAGTTACAATTCTTCGAAAAATGTCTTGTTTGTAATTTAACAATAAATATAGATTTTTTGTAGGTACAAAATTCTTTTACCTTTGTTTAATTTATTAAAGTTGTCTCACTGTCTTGTATAAGAGAGTGGTGTATTAAATTAAAATTTTGTTCTTTTTATTCTTTAAACTTCTCATTGAGACGTGACACCACTATTCTACTGTTGTTGTTGTTGTTGTATTTCCATTTCTGTGTGTCACTGATATATATATATATACTATTGAGATAAAGGACTTGTATTAAAATGTCAATGGCTTGCTTTATTATATTTGATTATAATCTTTCACCAAGTTGTTTTGGCATTTATTTTTGTCGTACATTGTACTATTTAATAACTTCAAACCAATAAACACTGAACATTGTTCCGTTATCCTGTAAACATCTATTTTCAGGGGCTCCAGGTGTTTTAACATTTTTACAATTTATTCAATTATTATATCATCATTTGAGCCGCGTCACGACAAAACCAACATAGTGGGTTTGCGACCAGCATGGATCCAGATCAGCCTTCGCATCTGCGCAGTCTGATCAGGATCCTTGCTGTTCGCTAACCATCCCTATTACAAGTAGAGAAACTGATAGCGAACAGCATGGATCCTGATCAGACTGCGCGGATCGCAGGCTGATCTGGATCCATGCTGGTCGCAAACCCACTTTGTTGGTTTTGTCGTGACGCGGCTCATTTGTTTCTTTGTTGAACATGTTTTATAAAAATTCAAATTTTTTAAACCAACATCTTTTATATATATAAGGTATAAAGTTATTTAAAGGAGTTCCACTGAGGTCAACAAGCATACAGACATAAAATTTAAAATTCTTGCATTGATCAAGTGATTCACTTAAAATGCAAAAATCTGTGAAAGATAATCAAGAAATATTCCAGAAATTAAGTTGAAAATCAAATAGTTTGTGCAATTCTTGTTCTGATTTAAGTGCAATGCTTTTTATTTTTTTATCATATTGCACAATACAAATGATCATTCTGGAAAAAAATGTATGTGGGAATGATCTGAAAATTTGCACAGAAATTATTGGTGCAAACCTCCATCAAATGGTTCACAAATCATGGAAAAATATCTCATCACTAGTGCTGTCATGTGAAAAAAAAAAAACTTTAGTGGAGTCCCTTTAAGACTAACTGAATTGGCAGATTTTATTTTGTATCATACCAGACATACAGTTTTGAAAAATGATGTTTGTTAATTATGTGAAAGTAAGTGACTTGTCTGCCAAATTATCTTTTATTCCTATCTAACTCTTAAACCTGCTGGAACCAAAAGTGAGTAGTCATTGTAACCAGTATAGAGCCCGGCCAGCTGGCTCATCCGTGTAGTCTGACCAGACTTTATACTGTTGGTAACTCAATTTTTGTACCTACATATTCAAATTCCATAAAATTTGAACGGACTGTTCCAAATTCAAAGCTGGGCAAATCCGTTACACAAATTCAGCAGGTCGAGGGTTTAGGAAGCCACAGAAATATTCTTGAAAAGATCAAAAGGGTATAAAATTCTGTGAGTGTAGAGGTTTACAAACTTATATTGTATATTTCACTGTTCAAAGCTTTACGTCTTTTAGTTGAGGACAATATTACAGATTAAAGTTGTGTTTAAATAGCTTTAAAGATATTTTTAACCAAACTTAAATGATATAACAATTTCTGTATCTTATATATGGTCGGAAAATACGGTACTATTAATAATTGTCATAGGTGCTTAAAAATCAAGGTTCATGTTACAATATTTTTGTTGTAAAACGTTTTTCCCTTCCATGTAAGTTATGTAGATATATATGTAAACTATGTATTGTGGTATGTATATAATAGAATAATATTATCTAGTTCAATGTTATTTTTACAATAAAGGAGAGGTAACTTGTATGTTATTTACCAATGCAGTAAAGTTCAATAGAAATTGCTGATATATTTTGATTTGTAATAAATATTGTCAAAATATTCTTTTTGACCATTTAAGAAAAGTCAAAGTTATCTTTTCTAGATTTGTCTTTGTAAAAAATGCAGTCTTGATAAGTTATTATAATTTTGCTGATGACTGTTTAAATGTTTGAAGAGATTTTACAAGCTGCTGTACTTATTGTAGAATATAATGTCTTATTCTTGTTTTAACAATATGATGATTAGAACAGATCGTATTGCAACTAAGGGTTCAAAATACATAAAACAGATTGGGACTTCTAGCTATGTATTTAAATGTCATGTTTGCTCTGATATGCTTAAAAAACTCTATGAAATTTGACCAGAATTGTTGTCTAATTAAAAAATCATTTACAAGATTCTGTTTGTTAATTTAGAACGGAATACTATATCATTTGCTCAAATAACCTGTTAGTATCTGAAAATCTCTTACTTGGCATAATGCAGGCATAATATTTCAATTTTTTGTTTTGTACCAAAGTGGGTCTTGTATAAGGTTAAACCTGCATTGTATGAGAACGGCTTTTAATATATTAAAGGGACTCCACTGAGATTTTTTGACATGAGGGGATTACAAATATTTTCCCCGAGATTTGTGCACCATTTGATAAAGGTCTGTGTGCAAATTTTCAGATCATTCTCTCTCCCTGTTTCCAGAATAAGCATTTTTATTATGGATATTGACCAATAAACAAAGTGTTGAATGCTTTTCACTCGTATCAAGATAAGAATCGCACAAAAAGTTGATATCAATAAATTTTGAGTAAGTTTTTATTTTACCCTTTCCAGATTTTAAGTGCTTCACTTTGCTTTATGCAAAAATTAAAATTTCATGTTTTAAAGTTATTTGACCTCAGTGGAGCTCCTTTAATCATATGCACTTATCAATGTTACTATGGACAAGCTAAGAATTTTTTGTGACCATACAGTTGATGTTCTCATGTATGATGGAATATTGAAATAACAGATGTAAAATTTTTTTTTACAACATATTAAGTAAACCTTTAGTTGAATCCTCCTATTATAATTGGGCAATCATTAATTTATTAAATTTAACAGTTTGAGATTACTGGTGAAAGAAGAATTTCATAAAATTTTATTTTTATTCCAATAATTTCACCTGTAGATGTTTTTGAACTAATGAATAGCTCCTTTTAATATTGTTTTTATTGTAAAGACATATTAGAATAGAATTAATGTTGTCTCTCTAGTTTCAAATATTGGCAATGAAATTTTGGCCATTTTACTTAAGTTTCTTCTGATATTGGCAATGAAATCTGGTCTTTTTGAGGTTTGAAAAGATGCTTCAGTTTTGGCCATCTTGCTTTAGTTATGAATATTTTGACCTTTGCAATGAAATTTGGGCCATTTACTTTAGCTATTTCTAATATTGGCAATGAAATTTGGGCTACTTTGAGTTTCATAAAGTTTAATTTCCAATATTGCATTGATATTTTTGCCATTTATTAACTTTTATGATGTGTTTATATTTCTTATATTGCTCTCTGTATTTTATCTTGTACTCATTCCAGAATAGTGTAAATGTGTTCAGTTGAAATTTCAAACATCTCAATGTTTATAATGTTTGTTAAGCTGGTATGAGGTTAATTGAGGTTAAGGAATCTTTAAATCATAATGTTCTATTTCACAACTAGACTTCCAGCCTTAAAAAAATTACATTTTTGAGCTTTTCTCAAAATTTCTTACTTGTAACATTGGACCAAGCAATAATCTTCATTGTTAATTATGTCGGCAAGTAAGCAAAGTTGTGAGGTTTTATATATTCTTTAACTTGTCTAGTTTGTTTCTTTCTTTTTTACGTAATTATACATTCTAACTGATGATGATTTAACAGTGTCAATGTTCAGTGACGTCAATTCATCAGCACCCGGGATATTATTACATAGATTACAGTAGACTCCCTTGTTTTACATTATTTTATTATAAAGGGCATTTTGTGTTAGAATTTTAGAAATTTGAAAGAGAGTTATCGCTTCAACTTACAGTTGTGTTTCATGGAATTTATTCACATTTAGTAGGGTATGGATTCAATACAACTGTGTATTATTCAGTTTATCTACCATTAGCTTGCACATATTTCTTCTTTATAAAACATTTGCTGGATATCGAAAAAACTTGGACTCCAGAATTACAATTAAGTATTATATTGACCTAGCATGAATTAGTAAGTATGTAAAGAAAGGCTTTAGTTATCGAGGCTACATATTTGGTTTCCCAGTCTTCCATGTGGGCCTCTAGATATTTAAGATATTTGAATTAGGTGCTTTGTGTGCTGGATTTTCTTGCCATGATAGCAAATAAAGACATGAAAGCCTTGTCTCTTTGGCACACTGTTACGGTCAGTTTTGCAATGCTTAAATGAAAAACAGAATGTTATAATGACTTATGTTGAACTTTATGTATTTTAATGTTGTTATAAAACCCTTCAACTCTCTATAGGGACTGGACTGGTGGTCATAATTAGGTGCGTCAAATAATGCACAGATAGGTCTTCATCCACAAGTAAAACCTGGAAAGTCAACATATGACATTAACAGTGTTGGTACCATTTAAAACACAACCAAAAAGTTGTAATAATTTGTTACGACATTGATATAAAAAGATAATATTTGATAGTTTTACTTGCTAATAGTAATGTATGATTTTTACTTAATTGATGCAGATTTATGTATTTGACATTGACATAACACACAAAAATAGAATAACATCTATACTGATTAACATATCTGTTTTAAAATATGTAACATATATTAACATATGTATAAAATGTAAGTAAGAAAGGTCTATTTGTGTAAAAATGATGCCGTCATTGGTTTAAATTGTTCTACTATTTTAATATTTTTAGCCAGAATTGTTTTATCATTTAAGTATTTATGTATACTATATAGATAAAAAAGATACATTGCATGTTATTTGTTAGGAAAAGAAAACTTACATTATAAATTCTACATGTATATTTTTGTCTTGGATAATAAAAGTTACTGGATGGCTCATGAATGCTCTGTTTCTTTTCATTTAAAGCTCAAATGAGCTGTTAATATGAACAATTTATGGCGTAAAAGAATCTGTACTTGTTTCTTGCCTCAATTTAAGAACTTAAGGTAAAAGTAATGTAATACAAAGGTTTACTATTGTTAGACTATTCCTAAATGACTATCCATCAATGTATTATGAATATCCCCTAATGTACTATGACTATCCATCAACATGTTTTGACTATCCCCAAGGTATCATGAATATGCCCTAATGTATCGTGACTATCCCTCAATGTATCATAACTATCCCCCAAGGTATCATGAATATACCTCGCATATATCCCTCAAGGTATCACATACATCCCTCAAGGTATCCCAGGTATCATGGCTCCCTCAAGGTATCACACATCCCACAAGGTATCCCAGGTATCATGACTCCCTCAAGGTATATCACATCCCTCAAGGTATCCCAGGTATCATGACTCCCTCAAGGTATCGCACATTCCTCAAGGTATCCCAGGTATCATAGCTTCCTCAAGGTATCATGACTCCCTCAAGGTATCCCTGGTATCATGACTCCCTCAAGGTATATCACATCCCTCAAGGTATCCCAGGTATTATGGCTCCCTCAAGGTATCACACATCCCACAAGGTATCCCAGGTATCATGACTCCCTCAAGGTATCACACATCCCTCAAGGTATCCGAGTTATCATGGCTACCTCAAGGTATCACACATCCCTTAAGGTATCCGAGTTATCATGACTCCCTCAAGGTATCACACATCCCTTAAGGTATCCGAGTTATCATGACTCTCTCAAGGTATCACACATCCCTCAAGGTATCCCAGGTATCATGACTCCCTCAAGGTATCACACATTCCTCAAGGTATCCCAGGTATCATAGCTTCCTCAAGGTATCAAACATCCCTCAAGGTATCATGACTCCCTCAAGGTATCCCAGGTATCATGACTCCCTCAAGGTATCACACATCCCTCAAGGTATCCCAGGTATCATGGCTCCCTCAAGGTATCACACATCGCTCAAGGTATCATGACTTCCTCAAGGTATCCCAGGTATCATGGCTCCCTCAAGGTATCCCAAGTATCATGACTCCCTCAAGGTATCACACATCCCTCAAGGTATCCCAGGTATCATGGCTCCCTCAAGGTATCACACATCCCTCAAGGTATACCAGGTATCATGACTTTTCTCATGGTACCACACATATCCCTCAAGGTATCATGACTCCCTCAAGGTATCACAAATTTCTCAAGGTATCCCAGGTATCATGACTCCCTCAAGGTATCACACATCCCTCAAGGTATCCCAGGTATCATGGCTCCCTCAAGGTATCACACATTTCTCAAGGTATCCCAGGGTATCATGGCTCCCTCAAGGTATCACACATCCCTCAAGATATCTAAGGTATCATGACTCCCTCATGGTACCACATATATCCTTCAATGTATCCCAGGTATCATGGCTCCCTCAAGGTATCGCACATCCCTCAAGGTATCCCAGGCATCATGACTCCCTCAAGGTATCACATATCCCTCAAGGTATCACACATCCCTCAAGGTATCCCAGGTATCATGACTCCCTCAAGGTATCACACATTTCTCAAGGTATCCCAGGTATCATGGCTCCCTCAAGGTATCACACATCCCCCAAGGTATCCCAGGTACCATGCCTCCCTCAAGGTGTCACACATCCCTCAAGGTATCCCAGGTATCATGACTATCCCTCATGGTACCACATATATCCCAAGGTTTATTAAACTTTTTAGATACATGAACATTTTCTCAGGTGAGGTATTTACACATCAATACTTCTGGTTTCTTTAAAGTGCTAGAATTGTTTTAAAATTAAATTTTGTTTTCTTTCAAAAATAATGACAAATTGCAGTACACCATTGTGTCATACAGATCAGATGAGGATATTCTTCACTTGTGTGGCAGATCTAGTTTGTAAAGATGGCACTTTAAAGAAACCTATATGTACTTGCATTAAAAAATCTAGTAATAAATGAGTCACACAGTTGAAGAGATTTTGAACAATTTCTCTTATCAACTGAACATGATGAATTCAGCAGTAATTTAACCCTGCAAATAATCATATTAGGAGGCTTATCATTGGAATAAAGAAACAACAAATTTGAAAAAATAGTGTGTAAAAATTTAACTTTTATTATTATTTACAAACCATTCAGCAAACTGTAATGGTTTTATCAGTGTACAAACTAAAACATTCAAACATACACAAACAAACGTGACATACATATAACACTTGTTCAAAACTAATAACCTTTATGAAATATTTTAATGACACAATCAGACATGAAGTTTTGTTGGTTTTTTTTCATTCTCCTCTCTTAATGAACAAAGCTGAACAAAGTTCCTAGAAAACATCTTTACAGGCTAAAAATATATACAATAATAATTATTTTAACAAAATAAGACAGAAACATCATTAACATTCAATACAATAAAATTTCCCAACATTCACATAAAATTCAGCTGTTTCTTACCATTTATCCACAATTAAATTCAACTACAATACACAGAAGACACCTAATTTAGAGGTGATCAACCTTATGGCATTGTTTTTTCCTGTTTTACAGAATAAACCTGGCTTATACAGACTGATTTGTCCAACTTTTGAAAGTAATTATTTAAGAGATATAATCATGAGAGTTCAGGACTTGAACAGCCAACAGAAGTAGTACTTGGTAAAACAGACCTTACATGTTACTGATCACCCATTCTCACATTAGTAATGTAAATGCGGCAAAAATAAAAAGTAAAACTATCTTCTGTATACATGCAATAATATTATACTGCTTACAGGTTAAACAAGTTAACAAATCTTCTGTCATGTCACACCCTATATAACAACATTTGTGCTAGTGTATAATGTTAACTTCTCATACAATCTCTTGTTTTTATTTCATACAACCAAGATGAATACCACACTATCTTTTTCTTCATAATCATAAAACTATTATACATTTGACAATTACTCCATTTCACTATAACAATCTGGTGTACATGAGGTTTATAAGTAGCAAATATTGATGACTTTGACATAGATTAAATAAGGCTACTACATTTCAGTGCAAATCAAGTTCTCCTCCCTGAGAATAAGCCGACTTTATCTTGAGGTACTGCTCCAACACTGTAGTGAATTACATCCATATTATAAGCAGAGTGTACTCAAACATGTATAAATATCAACAACAAATGAAATATTACAACATATACATTAATGTAATAACTAAATATCAAACTTTTAAACAGATTAACTTGATCTGCATTTACTTTGGTTGACACTTTCTCTTCGACTAAAATTTATATAACAAAATCTGATGTTATTTTATTATATTCGAAAAAAATATAACTTTGTGTTGGTTTCGAATTATTTATCCTAAAATACTTTCATGAAACTCCAAATCCCTCCTCATACAGCTGTCAATCAAATTTGCATATTGTAAACATGATATTGTTGGTAATAAAGAAACCATCAGCAAAGTATTCCATCACCTTCGTATGAATGCCATATACATGTAAATGCTTTCAATTTTATACTTTTTCAATCTATATGAAATAAATCCATTTTAAAGTGAACACTTTCTACAAAATGTCAAAATGTGAGAATTTGCTACATCACACTTATTTGCAACAATAGCCAAATATAACTTAATGACACTGTAGCATTCAGATTTTGATGAAAATACAATCACACCAGAAGGAAAGTATTCACAAACCTAAAACATCTATTTCTGAATTTACATATCACAAATGTTTTAAAATTTTGTTCCGAATATCACATCAGATTAAAATTTCAACCCGTAACATGATCTTTTTTCTCACATTCCATTATATGCTGGTCCCTCTCCGCCTTGCGGACACACCCAGTTAATGTTCTGTGTTGGGTCCTTGATATCACATGTTTTACAATGAATACAGTTCTGGGCATTAATTTGTAATCTTTTTCCTAGTCCATCCTCTGTTTCTACATATTCATACACTCCTGGAAAAAATACAAAGTCATTTTAGGAGAATGAATATACTCAAATAGCAAACATTTCTAACGACATTTTTTCTTGTTTTAAAAGTAAGATGGTTATTATGTTCAAATATTCATTTCAAAACAAATTCAATAAGAACTTCATTATGTTAAGAATGGTGGGTGATATCACCCATGATTTTGCAACAAACAAAATTTACTTATCATGTCATACAGGGAATGTTACATTCATTGCCAGCCATGAAGACTTACATAAAATGTCCTAAAATGTTATAAATCTCACAAGAGGCTTGCATTATAAGACTGTCTTTATAGCACTTCCCGTCAGGTAAGAAAATATACAAGATAGCAAGGCTCTATACTCACAAATAAACCAACAGGACAATTACTATATCATTTAACCTTGATCAGTAAATTAAAGACAATCTCATATATTAATTTAATTCCACGTAAAAAAGGTTGAAAGTTACAAATATTTTCTCTTCAAAGTTACCTGCAGGACAGAATCTTCCCTCCGGTCCATCATAAAGAGCAAGGTTAGTTTTAACTGGAACTGTATCATCCATTAATGTAAGATGTGCAGGTTGATCATGATCGTGGTTTGTTCCAGTCAATGCCACGGATGAGAGCAGATCAAACGTTATTTCACCGTCAGGTTTTGGATATTCTATAGGTGTACATTCTGATGCTGGTTTTAAATGAGTATGATCAGCACCTAGAATGTTCAACAACATCATTCTTTTAGCTTTGTATTTGTTTGTTGTTCAAGACTTAATCTTGCCAACACTATAAAGACTTTCAGCACCTAGAAGTTTTAATTACATCCTTTCTTTTATCTTTGTATTTCGTTTTTATTTTTGTTGTTGCTGGCTTATAATCTTGCCAATACATAAAGGCCATAAAACAACTTGCCAATGTTGCGTCCCCGCTCCTCATTATTTATGACCCAAGTCATGAACCATGACTTGAACCATCAATGTTCCATAAGCTAGTTTGATAGTTTCCACACATGAATTAATTCAAAGTATCAGTCTGTATTTGAACACACAGCAGTACACAGCAGTCGGTGTAATCTTAATTAAAGTCAGCATCTTTTATCTTACAGGTATAAATTTTCGAAATTGTGAAAAGTTTTTAATTAAATGTGAGAGTAGTGACATCTTATTGCTCAATGAAGATTTAATAATGACTTCATCACCATGTACTTACATAAATTTCTTAAAATATCTTACCATCATGACTGAGTGTCCATGGTTCTTTTCCTTGACACAGAATACAGAAAAACCCTGTATACATTAGACCACCATATAATCCCAATATGGTGTTAAAAGATGGACGTACATTCCTTACTTTGTACAATTCCTCAAATACCCAACTATTCCTCAAGTTCTCTTCATACATTTGAGGAACAGGATCTGTTGAAAGTCAGAAATTCAAATATAAAATTAATGACATAACTTTACACTTGGCATTCTTATTGCTTTGTTTGAACATAGTAGGTAACCAAGAGCAATCTATTGTACAAATTTGTCAGTTTAAACAGTACAATACAAGGTGTTATTTTTAAGCATAGTTTATAAAGCAACATAAACAACATGTATTCTGTTTACAAGTTGATATCAGACATAAAACTGACGTTGATTAATATCACATCTGAAATAATATTCCAATATTATTTTAATCATCATTTAATCACCATATTATGTACATAATTCATATGATGTAATTTATTACATTTACTTGTTTCAGTACATGTACTCAATTGTAAAACGTTTCTGTAGTAATGTGAAAAAAAAAAATTTTGAAGCACAAAAGAACTTACTAATTGTACTGGAAACACTGCTGTCATCTAATAGTGTATCAAACACAGATTCTGCTGCTAAAAGTCCACTTTTCATAGCCGTATGTGTACCTTTGATTTTAGGAACATTGAGGAAACCTGAGCTACAACCAATCAAACAGCCCCCCGGGAATGTTAACTCTGGTATAGACTGTAATAATGAGATATATGGTATAAGTTAAACTGGATGGGAAAAAATATACAAATAACAAAACCATCAAAAATCAGTCAAACAATCCAAAATAGCAGAGCATTAAATTTGTAAGAACATTTTTGTCAAAAGATCAATTTTAATTAAATTGTATAAAAATTCTGGCTATTTCTACGCTGTTTACAATGCACATAATTTATACTCCAAAGTTAATATATAGAAAAAGCATCAATGACAATCATATATTAATCAGTGGGTTTAATTATTACACCACATCTATTATACAAGCTTTTCATTTAAGGACTATGAATACTTAATATTGAGCATGTATATTAAATTGACTACATGCAAAAGGTATAATTTAAAGACTGTTCTTTAATACCTGACACTGTGGCATCATTTAAACTATGATATTACAAGGGCATATTGAAGGTGAAATGGAATCATAGTTTATTAACACTTGTACAATTTTAACAGTTACTTTTAAAAAATAATGTTTTAATAAATTTTTACTGTTTGATAGCTAAAGAGACGTCAGCGAACAGGTTTTATAGTACTGCTAGACCTGTTCGCTGAAGCCAATCCCGTATCGAAAGTCAACCAGAACTGTGACATATTTATGTCATGCTGTAATTCAATAAATTTGGGTGATCTGGACAACAGCTATTTTAATACAGGTAGTTAGATATATTTGGGACACTTCAGTCTATATTTTTCAACACAGAACGTTAGATTGATGAAATAATGCCTCAAAGTTTATTAGTGGGTTCACATTTCATAAAATTTGCCGCCATTGCTGCCCTAATTATCACGAGAATTTAGGTTCGGATACCTTTGCATGGCATTTGGTGACACGTGACCAAAATGCTATTTTTAACTGAAAACATGGCTTTTGCAATTATGAGTTACGGTGTATTTATTCAATAACAGACATTGTACCAAACACATGTTGGATTTATATTGTTTTGAGGGATGATTCATGAATTATTTGTTTGTTTTTATTTAAAATCATACACTTACTAAACATAGTGTATGGTCCGTTACTAAAAATAGATGCTAGAATTCCCAAATTTGAAGTCTCGCGATATTTCAATTGAAAGCAGACTCCATATCGGTAAACATTCTCTACACATTTCCCTAACAAATAGTTGGGTAGACAATGTCATTGAAGTTCATTTAAAAACAAAACATGAATTGATTTATTTATTAAATGGTATTTTTTATTTGACCCAAATTTGATCAATAAGAGTGATTTTAATAGGTTTTATGTAGGGCACACGAACTGAAAAAATTCTGGTAGACTTTGCAAATAGGGTTGACCCTTAACTTTACTGTCGCACAACGTCAAAATAAAAGCGACATATACAGTTATGGAAGCCAGAACTATCCTTAACACTGATAATGGACTTTTCCAAATGTACATGTGTATTTTAGATAAGTGATAATGTTACCTGTAGACCACCTTCATTCAGAGCTCTAGCACCGTAGCCAATTCTATTTCCTCCTTTAAATGTATCAATTATAGCTGGATGAGTCTTCCATCTTTGAAATTCTTGGAACGGACTAATGTAAGGGTTTGTGTAATCTAAACCAACCTAAATTTATAACATTCCATGAAGAAATCATTAAACATGTTATACTTTATCGAATATATATGTCACCAATCAATCATAACTATGCCAATCCCAATGTTCTCAAACCTGTAGGATAGCACAAGAAATAAGCCATGTTTACATTTTGTCTGTCCCACAAGTTAATGCTGTGTTTTTGATTTAGTACAAAAATAGCAAATGATATTTCGAACTCAGATTATGGAGGTATTAAGTGCGAATTTTACCATCTGTCTGTCCCAACTGGTAAGCCTTTATCAGAAATAAAAAATCAAAGTCCCTACTAATTTCTGGGTACAAGGGGCACTGACTAGCAAGTAAAATGGTACAATACAAATTACAGTAAAAACCTAAGAGACATATCATGGTAAGAAAGAAGAATTTACATCTATTTTACCAATGAATCCAATAATTATTTTGCATTCTGTTGTCACAATTGTAATAAATATAACCTTTAAACATCGAAGATTTGATAAACCTTGAAAATGTTAGATAACATACTTACTACAACACCAATTGCAACTAATGGACCTTCATCTAAATGATACATAAAAGAACCACCATATGTTAATCGATCCTGAAAATACAGAAACAAAAACTTAGTTCTTTAATCATAAAATTTAAGGCTAAGAGAGCCCAGATTGGATTTTGTGTTGAAGGAGGTAATGGGGAGATGGGCAAAGGAGAGTACTGACAAGAATTTCTGGGTAAAGAACTATACAACTTACATTGAAAAATAGCATAACAATATAAAATTGATATTCAAAGTTGTAATTCATAGATTTTCCAGAACAAAAATGTCATAAAAGTCCTGGATTAATAAGATAGCTCATAATTTGAGACTTCCTTACAGGCGTCCTCATGCCTTTGTTACTGACCCTAGATGGCTAACATTCAAACTTGATCTTTATATTATCTACAAAAGGCTTATTATAACAAAGGACCAAAATTATGGTCTTAGAATTTGTAATTTCTTCAAATGTGCAACAATATAATATTCTAATAAAATATCAGCACAAATCAACATGCTCTGATTAACTTACAAATGGCCAGCCAACTGTGTGCATGACAAGTCCAGGCTGATGTTTAGCTGGATCAACTTCCCAGATCTCTTTTAGACCAATGCACAAGTGCAACGCTATATGCTCCCACTATGTGGGGGCATAAAAATTAGTTTTTTAATCATAAAATTTAAGGCTAAGAGAGCCCAGATTGGATTTTGTGTTAAAGGAGGTAGTGGGGAGATGGGCAAAGGAGAGTACTGACAAGAATGTCTGGGTAAAGAACTATACAACTTACATTGAAAAAAAATAGCATAATCATACAAAATTAATATTCAAAATTGGAATTCATAGATTTTCCATCACAAAAATGTCATAAAAGTCCTGGATTAATAAGATAGCATATAATTTGAGATTTCCTTACAAGCGTCCTCATGCCTTTGTTACTGACCCTAGATGGCTAATACCCAAACTTGATCTTTATATTATCAAATTTCCACTTCTACAAAAGGCTTATTATAACAAAGGACCAAAATTATGGCCTTACAATTTGTAATTTCTTCAAATGTGCAATGATATAATATTCTAATAAAATATCAGCACAAATCAACATGCACTGATTAACTTACAAATGGCCAGCCAACAGTGTGCATGACAAGTCCAGGCTGATGTTTAGCTGGATCAACTTCCCAGATCTCCTTTAAACCAATACCATATGTCTGAGGCTCACAATCCTTCCTAAGATCGAATTTTTTAAACAATTGCTTGGCAAGGTGACCATGGCAACCTTCTCCAAATATTGTCATTTTGGCATGCAATTCCATCCCTCTTTCAAATGTTTCCTAAAACAGAAAAAATATACTTCAAAATCAAGAATGTAATTTGTGTAATTTCTAAGAGAACAGAAAATTATTTTATGATTTAAGAAATTAGGTTTCCTTTTCTTTTTATCATTTATAAATTCATAACAGTATCCTGTCTGAGTGATCTAACTACATAACATATATAATTAAGTACCTTTGGAGCACCATCTTTCTGTATTCCAACATCATTTGTAGCAATACCTTTAACACTGCCATCTTCATGATACAAGATCTGTAGAAAATATAGAGAAGATAATTAGGAATTTCCCAATGAGTTGTCTTAAACTTACACAAATTTGTTACAATAATTCTGGAATAAAGTACTTTTAGGAATGACTGTAACAGTGTAAACAATTTCCTCACCAGAGCAGTTTACAGTATAAACAATTACTTCACAACAGTGTAACAAACAATTACCTCACTAGCAGCATATCCTGGGTATATCTCTACACCTAATGCCTCTGCCTGTTGTCCCAACCAACGAACAAAGTTTCCCAGTCTGACAATGTAGTTCCCATGATTTATCATAGGTGAACCTGTTACAAAATGTATAACAAACTACATGTTTCTACCCACACAAACAATATATACAGAAAAGTCACACAAAAAATTGGCCAGGTCACAAGGATTCAAAGCACAAGTCTCCGCACCTTTCATGATTCGGTATGCTGACCACTGCACCACCTCAGACATGGCAAATTTTTCATGCATAATGACCTTACATATTTATGTTATTTTAACCTGTATATTTTCCTGCCATCTTTATCACCAAAGCAACTTCCTAGTTCAAAATCCTGGCTGATTTTTGTGTGAGTTTTCTATTTATGATTTCATGATTATGACTCTCATAATATACAACCACAATGATATTATGTTTTATATTTTAAAATCCACAAAATCCAAATAAATTTTTCTTGTGCTGGCAGCCTGTTGTATCAAAGGCAGTATTTTATGATTATTATTCATTAAATGATTATTTATTGGGTTGAAATCATGAATTACAGAAAAACAGACAAATGGGTTACTTTTTTCCACTCAATCAGTAATGGCCAATGAAATTTGACAGCATATAGAACTATATTTTATAGGACCATCATTAACCTTTTAAATGAACACCTGATTAAAATAACATGAAAAGCTTTCCAAACATTCTGTATTAATTTTGCAATTTCTTTCTAATTTATTTCAGTGTTATTCTGATTACTTTCTCATAATACCAGTTATGTAATGCCAACCTGCTCAATTAAGTGGGCAGTATAACCTGACCTCAAGGTTATAGAACTTCTTTCTCAGCTTTGTCTCGAAATAAAAATTTTCATTGGTTAGTATTCTTTCTGTGTCTCATTTTTGACTAATAAATACCTGAACTTGAGATAAGAAAATTTCTTTCGATTCTCTGACCCAGAGATCCTTGGCTGCTCAATCATAAGGGGTTTATTTTATATTATAACTCCTTAAATAAAACAGTGGCATAGAGATTGAGAAGAAATTACATCTACACTTTACCTGGCACCATTGGTATAGGGATACTTCCAGACTTTGTCAGAAATTTGAAAACATCTTTTTTTACAGGAGTCATTGCTGGCGGCTGAATGAAAACAATCATCATGTTAATTCAAGACATTCATGCAGTAACTAAAGATTAATAAAAAATATCAAATAGATATTACATTAAACTGGCCTACATTACAAGAGTTGAATATTATTTCAAATTTTGGACTTTTTTATACTGAAAATATAATTGCATGTGAAATTTCTATTTTCAACACAGGGCTACCATAGGATATATGTTAAACTAAATAAAGTATGCGTATTTATGCTATATTAATGTCAATGGAAAGTTTCCATGAAACCTAACTTTAAACCTATACTATATATACGTGACAAAACAGGTGTAAATATTTTTTATCTTACATCTTTTTCTTTCCAGTCAGGGAAAAGTTCATCAAGAGCTCTTGTTTCTATGCATGCCCCTGATAATGTATGGCCACCTTAAAAACAGAACAATCAATGGTTTAGTAAACAAACTGTTCTTTACCATTTTATGTACACATAAATTTGAAAACAAATATGCTTTCTAGAAAACCTCAAAAATACATATGAGCCGCGTCACTACAAAACCAACATAATGCGTTTGCGACCAGCATGGATCCAGACCAGCCTGCGCATCTGTGCAGTCTGATCAGGATCTATGCTGTTCGCTTACCAACCCTTTACAAGTAGCAAAACTGATAGCTAACAGCATGGATCCTGATCAGACTGGCTTATTCCAGCTAGAAATGTATGGAAAAAAAAAAGAAATTCAAAATGAGCAACAAAGGCATGTGAAAAACAGTAATTGTTCATAGGTTGTTTTTTATCTTTACCAACAAATATTTCTACACATAGTAATTTATATTGCTTTACACATACCTATTTCAGCTGCCTTTTCAACAAGACAAACTCTCAGTTCTTTTCCCTGATCATTAGCAAGTTGTTTAAGTCTACAAGCTGCTGACAGACCTGCAGGTCCACCACCTACTATCACCACATCAGCTTCATCAGCAAATCTCTCCATCTCTACACCTACAAATTAGAAATCCAAACAGAGTTATATGTCTTTAATTCAAGTTACGGTATAATAATCCATATGTGCCACTTGCTTCAAAAGACAATATGTTATTTCATTTGTTTGGAGTTTGACCTAAACATCAATGTTAATGTGTTTTTGAACACTGATAAAATGCTCTATCATGAATTCAGTAAGTGTTTTATCAAAAATCTTCATTGGAAGCATGTTTCAAATAAATAAGATTTAAGACATTACAAAATTTAGATTTCTGACTAAAAATTTTAAAATCATTGAAATCAGAGAAAAATGAATATATATTAACACGTTTACAATATAAAATTACAAGAATCTACAATATGCAACTTGTAACAGAGAGAAAATTTTGAAATCATGCCACTTAATTTAAGTAGATACAATGTATTACATTCAAACAGACTCTCTTATGAGAGGCTTTGTCTTTGACAATGCTAGATTAGTTACAGAAATCTGAAATGACTTGATCTATAATAATACATAAGCTATGTAATGGAAGGTGGGGCAACCAAAGCTGCAAAAGGAAGACAAATGGTTGAGATTATTTTTAAGAGTTTAAGTCAGCATTATGTAAATTTGTATTGACCTCTTGAGATTAAATTTTAATTGCAAGGTACTTGTGATTAGTTACCTTTAGTAAACCATTAAGTTTTACCTAGAACTTTTTGCTAAAATGCAAAACCACTGATGAAAATTTTTCCTAAGCATTGAACACTGAACTTTTTGACAACTTTAGCTGTATAAAATGTATCTGTTTTTTTATTTAATGATTTTGTTTGAAAGGAGATGACTATGCACACAGCAAGGACATGGTCGCCTGCAATCCTAGAATCATTAATTTATACAATCATTTCTTGCTTTAACATCACAAAATCAGTGAATAAATACATTGATCATATATCTTTATTAAATGCTCACTCAAAACAGTCTCTTACATTAAAGTACATATATTTAGGCCAATAAAAAATATATTTGGTGGTAGATAAATGATAACTAGAAATGTGTCATCATGCCACGGATGCCCCCGCATGCAGCCAAAATTTCAGATGTTATAATATTTAGTTCCAAATTTGTTTGCACAAATTATTGTTTTCATTTTAAGTTCAAAGCCCTTAAAACTTTTCAATGTTAACACAAACCATTTTCATACAATGTTCAAGGCACTGAAATTATTCAGTCTTATCCTTTTGAAAATAGCATATTTCATATTTGTAGCCAAAATAATGGCTACATACATTTCCACAAAAGTATGTCAGTGCTGAAACTGAAAGTTCAAAATTTTATCCAATATTCAAGAAAGATAAGTTTGTCCAAAATCATTGAACCACGACCAAATTCAAACTTAAACTGTCTATTCCTAAGATGTATCTATATTATTTTCAAAGTGAAAGGGACATAACTCTGCCAAAAAATCATCGAACCATGACCAAATTCCAACTTGACCTGCCCATTCCTTTGACATATCCATATGTCAAATTTGAGTTGAATATGTAACACTGTTGGGTAGATAATGAACAGAAACTGTAAATTTCATATTTTTTTCAAAGTGAAAAGGGCATTACTCTGCCAAAAATTATTGAACCATGACCAAATTCGAACTTGACCTTGGCATTCCAAAAAAATATCAATATGTCAAATTTGAGTTGAATGTGTTGTACTGTTGGGGAGATAATAAACAGAAACTGAAAATTTCATATTATTTTCAAAGTAAAAGGAGCATAACTCTGCCAAAATTCATCGAACCATGACCAAATTCAAACTTGGCCTGTATTTTCTCATGACATATCCATATGTCAAATTTGAGTTGAATGTGTTGTACCGTTGGGGAGATAATGAACGGAAACTGAAAATTTCATATTATTTTCAAAGTAAAAGGGGCATAACTCTGCCAAAAATCATCGAATCATGACCTAATTCGAACTTGACCTGTATTTTCTCATGACATATCCATATGTCAAATTTGAGTTGAATGTGTTGTACGGTTGGGGAGATAATGAACGGAAACTGAAAATTTCATATTATTTTCAAAGTAAAAGGGGCATAACTCTGCCAAAAATCGTTGAACCATGACCAAATTCGAACTTGACCTGTATTTTCTCATGACATATCCATATGTCAAATTTGAATTGAATGTGTTGTACCGTTGGGGAGATAATGAACGGAAACTGAAAATTTCATATTATTTTCAAAGTAAAAGGGGCATAACTCTGCCAAAAATCATCGAACCATGACCAAATTCGAACTTGACCTGTATTTTTTCATGACATATCCATATGTCAAATTTGAGTTGAATATGTGCAACCGTTACTAAGATAATGAACGGAAACTGATGATGACGGAATGACAGAATGACGGAATGACGGAAGGACGGAATGACGGAATGACGGAAGGACGGAATGACGGAAGGACGGAACAGGGTAACACTATATGCCCCGGCCATTACATGGCGGGGGCATAAAAATAGGGCTGATAGGTTGAGAATGTTTTTTAACCCTTTCCCTCATGAGCATATTGCGAAAATGGCCGTTTTCATTGAAAAGCCTCCTGTTACAAGTTCAAACTGCTATGAAACTATGAAAAATGCTTCAATACTAATCAAACTTGGCACAAATCTTGACTGGACCATTGCCTTTGTAATGACATGCTCAGTCTTACGGTAAATTTCCTGTTACCATGGCAATGAGGGGACATCTCAAAATTGCCAAAAATCACTATTTGGTGTTGATTTTTTCATAGAGATTCATTTCAAAGTGCTGCAACTTCTCAATGGATTGAGATAGAGTCAAAGGCTTTTCAGCGTTGGTTACACATTACCTTATGATCAACCTGGGGTCATTTTTAGCCTCACAAGTCCAAAATTTTCTTGGCGATGAGGGGGACTACTGCCCCTCCCTTCAAACCCCCCAAACGAAAGGGGGCATATCCCCCTTCTGGAAACCCCCTGATGTACCTTTTTGATAGGGAACGGCGCCAAAAAAGTGATTTTTTTTTTAGAAACATTTTCCAAACAAAACAGTGTTTGGGGCCTTAATAGGGTAATTTGTCATTGTTTGAGGCCTCAAAAGGGGGGGGGGGTCGAAAAGCTGTCAAAACACGTCTATATGAAGTAAAGAGTTAACACCAATTCATTTTAACTGTCCTACTGATACTCTATGTGACCGTGGGTTGTTTTTCAAATATCTTTTGTTTTATTTGTATTTTCCTTCTTTTTTATCAGATTTACATTTATATAAACATTTTATTCTTTAGCAGAAATGATAAAAAGGCTTTAAAGCATGAATTCTTAACATTGAATAAATTGTGTGATTGGAACACAATGAATTGTGTAATATTTTCATTACAATTATTTATGGATCCCCTGTATTACATGGTTGTAGTTTCATACTGTGTTTGTTTTATTCCAAGGTACAATTTATGATATGAAAATAGTAGGATTTGTTATTATCTTTTTTTAATTATTAAACAAATGATATAGTCAGCATGTAAATGAGAATAGTCAAATTTCCTGAACCATGTATAATACATAAATATGGCCTATGTTGTAATTAATGCATAAACATTTAATAAACATTTATGACAAAGCACTTTAACTGTTATCTTACACACACTTCATTTTATCAGCTATGTATATTATCTACCAAGGTCATTATCCACCTTTCAAGCTTATATTGATATAAGATAATAATATCAACACAGAAATAGTTTCATGAACTCATCAATATTATCCTTGCAATACTTTGAAGTATCATAAACAAAATTTTAGTTTCACTTTTTACCCTTATTTTTCCGAATTTCTTATATTGACATGTCCAGCTTGATTATCAATTTTGATGATATCTAGATGAAAATTTTATGGGAAGTCAGCCAACAGTATAGAGCCTAGTCACACTAAACCAGGGGTCAACAAATTTTTAGGAACTTGTCCTGCAGGACGAGAGCTAAATATTTTCATTACTCCTGCTGCCTTGTCCTGCAGTTCACTAACGGAAAATGAAATTAACTGACTATACCAACACACATATTATTGTAATTTTGTATTTATTTCCTTATACTGTTATTGAATGTGAAATAAACTAAAGAATTTGTTTACCCATGTCACTGTTTTACTTATGTGAAATGACAAGGTTTTGGCAGTAGAAAAGATTGTTGTATCAGGAATCACTGCAACAAGCATATGCCACCATAATAGAAAACTTGAAATATGTTTTTAAATGAATAAAGAATTGAATTGAAACTGTAAAATTGATTATTTCTCCAATTAATTTGACTAGTCCTGTAAGGCACAATTGAAGTCAATTGCTATTAAGTCTCTTTATTACTAGCAAAAAGCAGATTTGTCAAGCCCAGTTTTTACACTGATGTACAGGCTGGTCTGGCCCTATATTTGTGGCATGTGCAGACTCGCAAAAGACTTATTACTTTCAGTTTCAGCAGCTGAAGGGTTCAACTTAATCAACTGATACATGTATTGCTAATGTTACATTTCTTCAAGAAAATCATACCTTTCCATCTTTCATCATTTTCTCTTGGCTTGACTGTGTAATGTGTGGTTATTTTTGGAAATGATGATTCAGGAAATGAATGTGAACATCGTATCACATTGTAAACTGAAAATAGAATGTACAACAATGATATTTATCTCAAATCATAACATGAATCCTCACATTCAACTTTTTTCATGACTTTAGTGGAATAACTCTTTGAAAACTTTTTAGTCAAAAATGAGGCAAAATTTTGTCATAAATAATGAAAGAGTAATATATACTTGCTTGTAAGTTCAAACATTGGTCATAAAGCAAGTACATGTGCTGTAGTCTAACTTTTAAAGCAAAACCTCAAAAGTGTTGAGTGAAAAAGATAATCTGATTTTTTTTTAATATATGGGGGCATAAGTTTGTTAAAATCAGTTAAAGAGTTTTATACACGTAACAGTATCATAAAACAATACCTTAAGCTCAACATGTTCCATGAAAAGGATTTAAATCTTTACTTATGATGCTTAATTATTTCAATTTTTTAAATTATTTGAATTTTTTTAGGGGATCTTTTGCAATACAAACATGTTATCTATAGTTTTATAAAAAATTTAATTAATACTGAAATCATGTTAAAAGCTTGTTAAAATGCTTGATATTAAAACAAGAGCCTGGATAATGTAGAATTTGTCCAAAATTGTCCATCATTTGAATCTATCCAAAATTGGCCATAATTCAATCAAAATCCATGGGAGAGTAAAGGGCCTTGTACAGTTACCTCCTATTGAGTGTTTAAAGTTTTGGAGAAACCAACAGGCAACTTGCACAAAAAACTGAGGCAACTTGCACAAAAACAGAACCAATGTGTGATGGTGAAGGCGATGCTGGGGCAAGTACAATAGCTCTCCTTTATTCTTTGCTTATTCGCTTATTCATCACAAAGTCAAACTGATAAGCATCAATTTAGAATTTTTAAATTTGTATCTATTTGCACACAGCTACAATTATTATCAGTTTAGACTTTTTAAGTTTGTATCTATTTGCACATTGCTACAATCATTTTAAGGGAAGTGGCTAGTCATACATGCTCCTTATAGCAAGCTCAAAGACTTGCTCGCAAAGGGAGCTGTACGGTAACCCGAGTACCTGCTAGGGAGTGCATGATGGTTTTAAAAAATTTTGTCTTTGTCAGAAGTACTGAATTGACACATCACAACTTTTGGAATAACAAGTTAATGATAAAAGCCAAGGAAATTAATTCTGATTGAAAATGGATGCGTAGACTGGTGTTCTGCGCACATTTATAGGAACCATGCAGGGCTTTATTTCCTTCAATAGCTAGGGGCCGTAAAAGGGCTGCTTCCCCAAAGAAAAATTCTTTAAAATCATACAGTTTTCCGAAAAAATTGAATTCACATCATTAGTTTACTCTTCCCCTTTTGAAATAAATCGTGTAATTTTCCCCCAAAATTAAGGGCAGGGCTGCTTCCCCAACCTGTGAAAAAAAGCCCTGCCATGAATAAAAGGAAGCAGTGTATGAAATACCGAATGACAGTTTTAAAACGTAAAATAAAAATGAATGAATAATTTCACGCTTTTTCACAGTAAAAGTAAATCAAGCTAGCTTTGAGGCTTTGCCTTTTATATATTACTGCTTGCCAAACATTCCATTGATAAGTGAGCCACTTCACTTTGTGATTTCTAAAATTCTTTGTGATTGCATAAATTTGTAAGACCAAAACAGTTTAATTTTTTTCTAGCCCTGTTTGCATCTGAACTTGTAACCCTTTTCAAGTCAAGTACTCAAGAAGGATATAAACAGACATAGCCTTCGGGTATGATGACTATTTTGTTATATAAATCAAAGTTATATAACATTAATTTGATAATTCTGTGTGACATGTTTATTTCATACGTTCATTTAATAAAATCATCACATCAAATGTTTCATAATTCATAAATGAATAAAATACAATTTTATATCACATTTCATTCACCATTTTCTATATTATGAAATAAAACTGTCTATAAATCTACAAAACAAACGTTATACATAGTGACCTCTAAACTGCTAAATATCTAACTGCCAAAACAAGACAGTATTTTCACATAAAAAACCAAACGGTTTGAACAAATCATTCAGAAAATAAACAATGACTCAATAAAAGTTATATCTACGGAGATAAAGTCAAACATCACGAAGAAGATTTCATTTACTTACATGAACTTTTGCAAACATTGACAGCACGTACGATCGACGCCATGTTTTCGGTGTACCGGTAACTTTCTGCAAGGATATTTCAGACGCGGTATGCCTAAAATACGAAAGTGAGATTTTTGACGAAAGTGAGCGAAAGTGAGCGAAAGTGACTTTTAAAATTTGAATTGTACCGTTTTAATAGAATTTCACAGTGAATTTTCTGTTTGTGGACGTATATTATTAGCAACTTCTAATATATCTTTTCAAAAATAATCACTAATATAGTCTATGATGATTTAAATGCCATTTATTTGCATAATTTCTATACACAAGTTCTGAGATCTTCCTTTCGCTCACTTTGAAAAATACGACAGTGACTTGTAAATTATTAAATATGGAATTGAAATTTTTACTAAAATTGCAGTCTGCAGACGTATATTATCAGAAATCTATAATTTTTATTTAAAAAAATAATCATTATGATCTTTAATCACCATTTATTTGACATAATTTCTATATACAAGTTCAGCAATCTTCCTTTCGCTCACATAGAAAATACGAAAGTGACTTCTAAAATATAGTGTTTAATTGAAATATAGTGTTGAATATCAAATTATTTATTTCTGATGTTATATGTTTACAAACTGCAATTTAAGTACATTTTTCAATTCAAACTCTATATTTGATACTTTACAAGTCACTTTCGTATGTTTCGAAAGGAAGATCGCTGATGTGTATTTATAGAAATTATGCAAAAAAAAAAAATGGGGTATAAAACTTTAAATCATCATAATGATTAATTTAGAAAATAAATAATAGTAATTTCTTATAATATACGTTTACAAACTGCAGATATAGTACATTTTCAATTTAAACTCTAAATTTAATACTTTACACGTCACTTTCGTATTTTTATATGCAAGTGAAAGGAACAGTGCTGAACTTGTATATAGAAATTATGCCAATAAATGGCGATTAAATCATGATTATGGTTATTTATTATAATACATATAATAAGTTGCTAATAATATACGTATGCAAACAGCAATTTTACTGTAAAATTCTATTTAAACAGTACAATTCAAATTCTAAAAGTCACTTTCGCTCACTTTCGCTCACTTTCGTCAAAAATCTCACTTTCGTATTTTAGGCAAACCCATTTCAGACGAGCATATTTTGTTAATTTACACCGTTTGATAGAGCAAGACAAAAACAATAATTGAAATTTAAATTAAGATCTTCTAGTGTAAGTAAATTTGCTTAACTAAGTAAATGCATTAGCTTGTAAAACAAATCTTCTTCTGTGCCTTTACCTGTTGAGTTGCATGATTTCTTTGTCTGATATAATTTGTAAATGATTATGATTCGCTCGGAAAATATAACGGTTCGTCCCACTGACGATTCGCCCCACTTAAGTGACAATCCGCCCCATGTTAAACTTATTGAATTAATTTCATTATTTAACAACTTAGTTAATTAATCAGTTATTCGTTACTTGAAGCAGATTCTTAAACAGACTTGCCAATGGCATTTCCTATTATAGGAATAATATGAAAAAGGCAAATCCTCAAAGCGAGCTCGATTTTCTTTTACCGTAAGATAGTTTAAAATAAATTAATCGTTCATTTTTTTTCTTTATTTTACATTTTCCGTTTTAAAATTGTCATTCGGTATTTTATACACTGCTTCCAGGGCTTTTTTTCCTTCTGTAACAGGGGCCGATATAAGGCCCCTTCACAATTCAAAATTGCACTTTTTTTCACAAAGTGGCGGAAAAAAATTCACAATTTTAAAAGAAATTTCACAAAATATTGGAACTTTGTCTTTGAAATACATTATTTACCTTCTGGTAAAACATGATTTACGCCAATTTCAAGAACACAGAAATAGTTTTAATCAAGTTAAATGGTTTTAGCACATGTTAAGCAGGTTAAAGAAAAGACTTGAAGCAGATTTTCCGGTTTCATAATGTCACTAAATGCCAAATAATATGTTGTTTTTTTTCCACAATTTTATTACATAATTCATATCGCACATTTTTTTCACAAAATGAACAGGTCCAGGCCCCTTCACAATTTTGACAAAAAATGCCCTGGCTTCCGTTTATTCTGGTTCCCCCTTTCTATTATGGTTCCTATATAAGTGCGCAGGACACCAGTCTACGCTTCTGTTTTCAATCAGAGTACATCAGCTTTTATCATTATCTTGTAATTCAAAAAGTTGCGATGTGTCCAATTCGGTACTTCGGACGAAAGTTTTCAAAACCATCACTTAGCAGGTACTCGCATTACCGTAAAGCTCGCTTTGCGAGCAGGCCCTTTGGGCCAGCTCGTCGAGCTCACTATATTATATCAGTGATAACACTGGATAATACAACAAACAGGGTTTCTATTCTACTGTTAATGTTTATTCTTATATGAACTGTAACATGTAGGAGAAGAATTTTATAAGACATGTTGTCTTTCTAATCCTTTTTTAAGAATATTTGAAAATTTTGCTCTCTGTATATTGTAAATTGTAACATGTATAATAATATATGTTTAAAGTAACATGTAAACCTAATTTTATCAAATAAGCTATCTGCATGAATTTATGTATGCTGGATACGAGGGTTGTTCAAAAAGTAATAGGACTGCAGTTCTACTGTTCAAATTTTTTAATTTACGTGCACAATTTTATAAGATAATAATATCGGAACATATCCTCTATATACAGTGCAAAAATCAATAAAATATGTTTAAAAATAACGAGTCTGTGTAAATTTCAAATGACAAGGGGTACGCCACCCGGCGCACGCTAACAGCATAATAGATGACGTTTGTGACGTCGTAAAATAAAAACAAAATGTATCAAGCCGCACCCCGTCTGAAAGAATTCTGCCTAGTGTTCTAGGTGTCTAAATCATGTAACTTAGACCAGACCTCATATGTTGAGATGAAGCGAAAAACAAAACGATCACATTGTTGGAGAAAAAAAAAGCCCGATAGCCGGCCACTCACCGCTTTTTCTCTTATTCTTGTATCTTATAGTAATCAATATAGATTAAACAGGCATGAACTTATGATGTTAATGAAAAAGCGATTAATAGAATTATTTTACACAAATCATCTTACCTTCTTTAAACAATATAGTTATGTAAGTAAAATAGCAATAGTTTTCAACTGAAAAGTATATTTTCCTAGTAGGAACAGCGTATCGTTTTCAAAATAATATCGGGGAAAATATTAATAATTACCGTTAATCTTTATAACATTTATAACATTAATTTATTGATAACACGTAAATCTAGTTAAATGAAATTAATAGAATTTTGTTTGAAACAAATCATTTGGGCAGAACTGAATCGATAGACCCAATGCAGAAATCAAACATGCCTGACAGTTCGTGGACTGTTTACCGTCGATCATTTTGTAGCGCTTTTTTCATTTGACGTCACTAACGTCACGTCAATTTCCCGCTATCATTTTCATCCTTTCCTGTTTGTGATTTCGTATGTGCAGTTTTTGAGATGTTTGCGCAAGCTGAGAACGAGTATCCTGATAACCGATTAATTGCACTGTGTTAATTTTATGTTTTCATATGTATCTGAAGGAGTATCGCCAATTTGTTTGCAAAGTTTAACGATCGCACACATTTTCAGTTTTTTAACAAACGTCAAATTTCTACATTTAACGTTATGACCACTGCTGTTCAAAGCTTGATGATTAGGCATTCCATGTCTGAATGACGTCAAATTTGGGCATAAGGTCACTTAAATATAATAAATTGTGTTGGTGGAATAAATGGGGGAAAATGAAAATAAATTATGAATAAAAAAGAAGTTCAACTAAGCTTCAATAACCTTTTTATGTGCTGCGCCAGGTGCGTGTTACCATGGTTATTCAATAACACAGGGAACACGCGTTAAGCATAAGAATTCAATATTTTTATGTTTAAATTGAAGAAAACATTTTTCGATCGCTGTACATATAAAAATATTCTAAATTGAATTGAATATCAAGATGCAAGACTCTTAGTCCTATTACTTTTTGAACAACCCTCGTATAAGCATCTGTCATAACAATTTTTCTGTTGATACACATGTTTATATTTAAAGATCCTGTATGTTGTAATTAGGGTTGCTACCACATGTGGTGGTGTTGGCAGTTTTCACTCCGTATCACGACAGGAAGCCACATTGAGTTACCAGAGCACCGTTTAACCGCCGCATCGTTCCTGGGCAGGCTGTCAAGCAGTATACCAGTACTAGTTTCCTTCACTTTTGCAAGGAACTGAAATATCAATTCTGTACATACAAGAGCAGAGGTACATATATATAATATGTATATAATTATGCTTCTAAAACAATTTTCAGACATCGAAGAATATGTAAAATATGTACTGCAAATATTTGTCCCCATTATATGATAAACAGATAATGTAATCATTAAAATATATGCTTTCATTTCTTATTGGAAAAAAATGGCTTAGACTTATAAAATAAATTTCTAATTACCTCCCTTTTTTAACATGAAATGTAAATTCGGTAATATCTTTACAAATAATACTTTTTGGAACTTACAATATTGATGAATCTTCATTTGAGCATTATATTTTTGATATAAAACCCTGAAAAAATTGAGTTACAGGATCTTTTAGACATTTACACAAATTTTGTTATAACCACATTCTATGTGAAAGCTTCCCAGATACATGTAGCTAATAGCATGTTCACTTTGGGTTCTTCTCGTACTGTTGATGGTTGCTGCTAGTGCCTAAAAAAAATGCCTGGATAGGTTAAGGTACATGTACCTGCGGTGTGAAACGATTACTTGTGATTATGCCTGACAGCTATTTAGAGCTGACGATTTGATTACCAATTCATCATGGTGGTACATGTATTTCAATTTGATTTATTCAATACCACTATTTTCGCATGAATATCTGTTACAGTACTATCTGTTATAAACCCTTTAACAAAGGTTTTCTAAGCAAGTGTCTCTTCAATGGTTCTGTGTTTTCGCTTATCCTTTTTAAAATGTATAATGTAAACATGAAAATGTCACTTGTGCTGTTTATAAATTGAAGGTAAACCACAAAATGTAGCAAAATTTTGTTTTTGAAGTATTCCCAATAAAAATATTCAATGTTAACATAGCCAGAGTGAGTAATTGAAAAGCAAGTAATAGATAAGCAAAGCAAAAATCAAGAATCAAATTGAGAGATAGCTGAATCGTAACAACCCTATTTTCCCTATATTCCATCACCAGTTAAATTGAATAGTTGCCATTTGAAGTTAAGTGTCTGTTACATCTTTTAAACTCAACCATTTGATAATTTTATTATACATTTACACTGTTCATCTACAATGAATGAAATGTGTTTTTCAGTGTGAGAATATGGGGGAACCTCAGCAGGTCAGTGCATTTCCTCTACCACCGATGCAATATGTTAATCAATACACAGATGAGAATGTAAAAAGAGGTCGTGCAGCACCACCACCTCTTCCAATTCAGGTATAATATAACCCTCATTATTTAAAAGTGTGCATGGTTGACCGTTGAGTCACTTAAATATAGTTTCATACAAGTGTTAGTATCTCTTTATTGAATATGTTTTCATATATTTTTTAGCAAATCAGTTTGGTTTGGCTGAATCTAAATATTATAACTTCTCCATGGATCATCATGTTAAACTTAGTTTGTAGCATACTAAAATAGTGAAGTTATGATTATGCAAATTAATTTGGTAACTATGTTCTATTGAATGGCAACTAGAGAAAAGAATAATGAAAAATATTATAACTTTTTTCATGAATCTGATATCATATCCATTTTTGGCTATGCATGGAAGGGCATCTTAGGTCTTACTTCATCAGTAAAGCTGAAAAGTTGCCATATGACATATGCTGTGTTAGTGTGTTTTAATACCCAACCAGGTTAAAAAAAACAAAAAACTTTTCATACCTTTGCTAGTAATGGTTCTCATGTAAGGAATCTAGTGCCATTATTGTCTTTTGTATTGTTTTTTTGTCAGAACCTTTTTTCTTACAGAGAAATAATTTCCTGCAAACTCAAATAATAGATTTATATATTTCAGGATACATACACAATGTTTGGAAACACATTTACAGCAGATGACATGATAGTGCGCCCTTTAGAATCTCAGGGTTTTAGAAGACTTCATCCACAGACTTACGATCATAAACGTGAACTTAAGAAATTAAACCATTCAATACTTGCAAACTTTCTCGATTTATTAGACATCTTAATAAAAGCTCCAGACTCACCTAAAAGAAATGAGAAATTAGAAGATCTGAATTTACTGTTTATTCATATGCACCATCTGATAAATGAGTTTCGACCGCACCAAGCACGTGAAACGTTACGAGTTATGATGGAGCTTCAGAAAAAAAGACGCCATGAAGTCGCTGAAAGATTTCAGGTGCATTTAGACAAAGTAACTGAGTTAATTCAGAAAAGTTTAGCAGCATTGCCGGATGAGTTCAGTCTAGACTCGAAAGTTTTGGTGAAAAGTGAGATATTGACATCGGAAATGGGTGCGGCGGAACAGAGACGGGATAACGAGGAGTGTGATCAGCTTGACCGAATGATGTGTGACATTGTCGATGGTTTAAACTGAACATGGCTGTAAAGTTTTTTAACAACATCATTTAGCTGTCTTATTACATTTTTCCCTCACAGAAATTGTAAAACTATCTTAAATATTTGTTAAGACACATTCTTTGCTATAATTCAAGTAATACAAGTTAAGAATTTTATCTTTTATAAAAGCACATTATGTACCAGTCATTTGTAACCCATTCCCCTTCACCCCTGGGCAATGAAAAGGCCAGAAGGCTGAGTTTTTTCACTGCACTGCAAGGGATATACATTGTTTTTGATTTTGTACCAACTAATAAGAGATACACATTGTAGGGAGGGGCATGTAAGAAATAAATCTTCATTTGATTTACCAGCATTTCTCAGTGTTTCCTAGTGGGATGTGTGGGATGCAGGAATAGGTTTACAAATTATTGGTGCAACATGTAGAAAGAATATTTAAGTGAAATATAATGCTATAATTATTACCTTTGTATAAAAATCTAATTTGATCCTGTGAGGTTTTCTTTTTTTAAGTTAAATATAACATGTGTAACAACTAAATCTATAGTACTGTAAATTCTGATAAAGTTTGAATTACTTTAGTTGTGAAATAAACCATACTCGAGCTAAGATATTGTTGTTCACTAATAGATTTTCGTGCATTTTTGTATTCAAATGTGACATAAAGAAGAGTGACCAGAAGTTAAAAGAATTCTATACAAAACTTGAGCCCCGTCATGACAAAACCAACATAATGGGTTTGTGACCAGCATGGATCCAGACCAGCCTGTGCATCCGCGCAGTCTGATCAGGATCCATGCTGTTAGCTATCAGTTTCTCTAATTGCTATAGGGTTTGTAAGCGAACAGCATGAATCCTGATCAGACTGCGTGGATGCGCAGGCTGGTCTGGATCCATGCTGGTCGCAAACCCATTATGTTGGTTTGTTCGTGACGCGGCTCACTTCTGTATTTTATCTTTTCATAGATAATTAATATCTGTTGCAGTTCGGATCGAATATCCGTCCCTCGGGGACCCGCCCATTGGGCAGTAACGAGGCGTACCGAGTTACCGCCCATGGGCGGGTTCCTGAGGGACGGATATTATTATCCGAACCGTAACCATGTCAGACATATTCCATTATATTTTAAACTCATTACCATAATGAAACAATTTACCATTGAAATTATGACACAACACCCATGACTATTTTCTTATAACAGCGTATGAAATTACAACTTCATCCAGATGAAATTTCAAGCATGGATAAAACTAACGGAAACGCCAGTCTGATATGCAAGAAATACATTGTTAATTGAAATATTTTGAAATATAAACATATGTATAAACAATTGCGTGGGACGGATACGTTCTGTACATATAATTTCTGTAAAACTCTTTTGAGAAGAGGTCCGTTTTGTTTCTGAAGTGGAGATGTTAAACTTTGCTACAAACAAAGGTTAAATGTTTGTTGAACGTTTTTCATCATACGCATCATGCGCCCGAAAAAATATTTGCGTACATTGTTATGAACATAGTCGTCCGTCCGTTTGTCTGTAAGCAGTTTTTGTGTCCGGTCTGCATCTTTTGAACCGGTGAAAAGAAAATGAAATTATTAAACAGAAATGTAAACCATAATGAGTGCAGTTTTTGACATTTTTAAGGTCAAGTTAATATCATCATTTTTTCATCAATTTCAAAATTTCGTGTCCGCTCTGTATCTTTTGAACCGATAGAAAGAAATAAAAAAACTTTGTGGCAGAAATATTACTTATAATTAATGGGACAATATGAAGAACACAGGTTCGAGCTATCTGAGATAAAAATTGGACCCGCCCCGGGAAATCCTAGCATGTACCCGCCCACTGCTGTCCTCAACAGATAAAGTTCTTTATTTTGTTGCCCATATTATGATAACAACGATTGATGTGTATATCGCCACCAAAAGCTAAGGGTACTTTAGCCGTGCACATGCTTTATGAATAGGTTTACATTTAAATCTGCTTAATGATTGGTAGGTTATTCTAACTTTATTTCAAAGTCCCGGTATATTTTGCCTCTTGTATAGCAGAAGTTATGAATTTGTAAACTATGATGACAAGCGAGATTTTACGCACGTGTAAATGGCTGCAAAGGAACGATTAGCTGTGCACTGCATACCTTTAGAAGAGTCGAATAAAATGCTACCTTTGTAACCTAGACGAATGCCTGTTTAGATTGAAATTAAAGACACGAAAATTCCATTACGCCCGTACTCGTTTATACTGTGACACGTCGGGTACGTTTTACTAAATGTCGTAATTTGCCATGAATCCCACACCACGTGTCTTATTTATAGATAGACAGTGTTGCTCGTAATTGGTTTATCATAATGCATGGAGCATTAATTATATCCCAATTAAACGATATATAAACTTTTTATTAGCAAATGACCAACGATAAAACATCAAATTTGAGCATAAACATAGTATATATTATCGGCACCAACCAGCACACGTGTTACTTTGCTTTACTTTATTTAAGGCGGCTATTTAACTTTTTGGTCCCCACATCACTATGCAAATCATCTGAAAAGAAAAATACAAAACTTTAAAAGATAAATTTCGTCAAAACAAACTTGTTTCCTACTTTCTAAAACTCAACAAATGTTTCTCTACTTGTTATAGGGTTTGTAAGCGAACAGCATGGATCCTGATCAGACTGCGCGGATGCGCAGGCTGGTCTGGATCCATGCTGGTCGCAAACGCATTACGTTGGTTTTGTCATGACACGGCTCAAATGTTCATTGTACAGTCCATTATTTGTACGGAACATCGTCTTTCCATTTGAAGAAAATGTAAATAAAAGTGTTTTGCAAAAAAGCCAGAAATTTAAAATTGGCCGTTAGGTGTAAAGCTGATTTATGTGAATGTTTTTATTTACTTGTGTTTTTATTAAGACTCGCAAAATAAATCGTTTCATTCCGCGGTAAATCATGCGTTTTATTTAAATTCATATAAGACTGGGCTGCTATTTTTTGTATTATTATAATTATATTTCCTTAATAGCTAAAATCATTTTAGCTCTAATAAATTTTCATTACAGAATTTTTAAGTCCTTATATCAAGTCAAGTAAAGGAACTTTAATTTTAAGTTAATATCGCAACGACCAAATTGCATAACTGCTTGAAATTAATACGAGAAAAAACAATAAGAGTTAAATATAAAACATGTTTAAAATGTAAGGCAGTGGTACACAATTACCAATTAGTCAAATAATAGTATTGTCTTTCATGCGTGTAAAGTTTTAAAATTTTGTCTGCTATTATTGTAATTCTAATTTGTGTCAGTTGACTTTATGTACTTCGTAGAAAGATGTTTCGTTTCATTTTCTGTTCTGATAACCATGCATACATAAACAAACAGGTTTAATCTGGGGGTTGCTTAAAGTGTACGTAAGTGGATTTGGGATATGTTTGTTCTATAAAAACGTTATCTCCGAATGCGAGTTTGATAAATAAAAGTACGCCAGGTTACAGTGAACTGGCGTTAGTTAAATTATGATTAATTTCTGTTTTTGAAGTGATTTAGCCTGCTGAATAGTTTTGCGTTTGAACATGTCGTGGTAGACGCGAGTCATGAGTTTCACAAATTCAACAAGGAATTTAACCGTGATTGCCAGGAACGCTGCAGATGGATTTTATTATGCGGGTAAACTTTTTATCATTTTATTATACGGTTAATCATTTCAAGATTTAATTCACTATATATAGATTGTTGGAGCAGTACCTTTAAACGATTTGCATTTTACCGTTTTAATTCATATATTTGTGTACGGCAACTTAATATGTATATTAGTAATTTTCTTAGTAGCTATACTTATATAATTATGTATTATCTTATTGTTAAACAGTTAATCATTTTATTATGCGAGCAATCTTTTTTCTTTTATGTCGGTTAATCAATTCTATAATGCAGGCATTTCTTTATTTATATGTATTACAACAGCTTGAATATATATGTGTTGTAAGTATAACTTTATTTTGCGGGTAATTATTATATTATACGGATCTTTAAATGTCTGTTTTTCTTTTCTGATAATGCATTAAAATTCGTAGGAAATATTTCCTCTAATATGCACACAAATATTAACAGTATTCCGGTATAAAGCAGAAAAAAGAGACGCGTGAGTAAGTAAATGCTAAAGTTCGCCTCTTTATTTGCCGAAATGCATTTTAATCAATGGATGAAAAATTAAGAATCGGCGAAGAAAAAAGCGATATTTTTCTACTTAATTTGTGCAAGCGTTTAGGTCCGGGGAACTGCTTCAACACTGTAGTGAGTTAAATCAATTTTAAAATACATAAAGCCTTATTAACAAGTTATTATGTAAAGAAATATCAATATTAACTCTATTTTTCGTTTAAGTAAACTGATTTTAGTGTTCTAGCTTCACAATTATTGTAATCAATGCTTGTTTGTAATCGATAGCCAAGTTCACCTTACCCGTTTTTCAACCCCGATTATTTCATGATAAGGAGCTATTGGAAAATGCATTTGTCAAAGTCACTCCATAACATATTCGTGAAATGCATGCATGTATTCAGTAGAGCTGTTCAATAAAAACTTTCAACCAGTGCAGACTATAATCGGACCGTGCCCTGCACTGTTCGTTATTAAAGGCACGTTATGATTCAGAAATGTTTTTTTTTTCTTCTTTATAAATAATATCTGTTAGTTTGTTTTAGACCATGTTAGGTGATAATAACCTGAAGAATGTTGCGCTGAATGTGTAATTATTTTGTCATAAAAGTAGAAAAATGTGAACAAACCATACATAATCACCATAATTGTACTTATTATGTAGTACAAAAATCAACAGAAGAAAAAGATGGTTCAGGTAATTGGCCAGTGTGTAACTTTAGAGAAATGATAACAGGATACCAAAAAATAATATCTCCTAAAATGAAAAATGGTCCTGTCCATATTGAAAGATGGGCAGTTGCGAAATCTCTTTACGTAACCTATGTAATGTTGCATTAATACTCACAACATTTAAATGTTTCCGAGTGAAAAAATATCATTATAATTAAAGAGAAAAAATATTATTATAAAGTAAGTATCAGGTCGGAGAAACTGTGATCCCGATAATGAGTTATGTGTATAACTGTTGGTTTAACTTACATTTTTAGGAGCACGTTAAATAAGGTATTCATGCGCAAAGAGACTAAAATCAAGTTATTTTACTCTCCTTTTTTCATGGACCATTGTAACTGGAACTTGTACTATATAAATAATTATTATTGCTTTAACAGGTTTCATTACTAAAGGGATTACAAATGAAGAAGAATTCCATCATGTGACATTCTACAACATCAGACCTCAGGACGTACTGCCAAATGACGTCATCAATATAGGTGGCGCTGTGCCATGGCCGACATTAAAGGTACATTTTATGTAATAATAATAAAACAATAATAATTAATGATGATCATGATAGTAATAACTATGATAACTTTTTTTAAGAAGGTCACACATGAAGATTTAGCAAAATACAAATAACATACATGTATCTTAATTCTTGACAGTAACAAAATACTACAACGGTCATAACTTAGACGTTTTCGTAATTTTTCATTAACACATGTAGGCAAAATTAAACTGTTCAATATGATTTCTTAAAACTTGGCATGCTGTTAGAATATGATAACAGAAACATTTTAAGCGAAAAAATGGGGGTCACCGTCCTCGTTATTGAGTTATCTGCCCCTGAATTGGACTTTTTTGCTTAAGTCAAGGGCAGATAATTCACAATGAAGGCAAACAATATCTACTTTTTCTGATTTATATAGTTTATTTCTGTTTGAGTCAATGTGCAAAATTTCAAGAAAGAGTAGATTGACTTTTTCCATTTTTTTTCTAAACTTGTGCCCTTTTTTTCTTAAAAAAGTCCCTATATTCAAACTGAAAAAAAAAAACAGAAATAAGATATGGAATTACCTGTGATTATGTGTTGTGATCAACAATACAAAGAAAAACATTATTCAGAGGAAAAAACTTTGACACATACGTAAAAGTTATCTGCCCTTAAAATTACCTGAAATAAGTAAAAATAAAATCTGATTCAATTGACAGATAACTGAAAACGGTGAGAAAAAAACCCAGACAATTTCATTAGTTGCAATGTATCTTAAACACAATTGCATTTTAACTTACTTTTTATAGGTCTGTTTAGCGTTACGAATATTAGGGGTTTAGATATATTGAAAAAAAGCAAAATAACTATCCTGGCTACGAGTTTTCCAATGTGTAGCGTTGGCTTCATAATGGCCAAGTTAAACAACCAATCAAAATGTTCGAATCTCATAAAGGCCGACTTTACTCGTAATGGCCGTGTTCTTTTCATAATGCCCTAATTTATATCGGCCCTGAATGTATAATATTACCGATTAACGCGCCCAGTATTGCATGATTATTAAATAAACATGCATACTAAATATAATAGAATAATGATGTTTTTTATCATTATATATTGATCTGCAAGATATGTTTTGTTCAAAAGGTGTAAGAGAATTAGTGGAGCAGATATTATACATGGTATTGAATTCCAAATATGTGCACCATTGTAACAAAACGTCAATCATAATTTGTTACATTCTATCTTTCGATCTGCTCACCTAATACATGTTTTAAGACATAATTAATACACAAGACGTAATAACGACATAGATAAAGATCTGTTTGCAATCAATATGAACAGTCTTTGAAATACAAGCATGGTATTATCTGGGAACTCTTTCTTAAATGATTCAAAACATTCTCGTATGCGTTATTTGCACGAGAGTTATTTAAACTAAATTATTTGATTTTGGGTTTAATGAGTACGTGACATTATATAAAATTAAAAAGCTCTTATTACAACTTTCTAATAATAATAATTATAATAATAATAATAATAATAATAATAATGATGATGATGATGATGATGATGATGATGATGATGATGATGATGATAATAATAAAGAAACAGACTTATCAACAGTTGTTATAATGGCTATTTTCATGATGCCTTATATATATATAATTGCTATTGTCGTTTACAATAACAACAACAACAACAACAACAAAACAACAACACCAACAACAGAGAAAATCAGGTGACGTCATTGTGTTATCAAACCTTTAATACAAAAGAATTTCAGCAAGTTAGTGGTACATCATGAATTAAATGTGTTTGTTTATACAGATAGGAGACTATGTATTAGTTGCGGTACGATGTAGAACAAGTGGTCTTCAATGTTATATGCCAGGAAGGGTGGTATGTTTGCCTATAGATCTCCGGCGAGAAAATAGATTCTACACCCTAAAATTATATTCCGGGAGAACTGTAAGTTGAAATATGTTCGTCCCGTAGCTAACGAGAAAATGTTATCATTCGTAATAACGAGATATGCTATTAATAAAATACATTACTATAACATGTATAAGCCATGAATATAAGAAAATTATCAAAATTTAAATTATTATGAAATACGAAGTCTTAATAATAAATAGATTATTATGATATCATTTCGAAATATGAAATATTGAAATATGAGGTAAAGGCTTTCACATTATAAAATGGACTTTAAATAATACATTTACTTAGGTAAATAAAAACGATATAGATCAATAACAAAAATACGGGTTTATTTGTTTATTTCAGACTACCAAACCTAGGAGGTACATCATTAAGATTGGCCAGGATAAGTTTAACGAAATTACTGATTATATATCAAACATCCGCTATAAACAACCTAAAATGTTTGTATCTGAACCAGATTTGAGGTATTTAAAATTATATATTATTATTTCTATCATTTGACTTCTGTTGTATCCCTAACGTTTTTCCATATATCATTTAACTATTGATTATTCATATACACTTTACCGCATTTCTAGTTGGTCACCCCTTTAAAAAGTCTTATTTATATCATATGGTGGCTGTTTGTGCCATGTCGTCTTATTTTTGCTCCGCGGGGCACCGGATGAAAATACGACAGTCAACATTTTGTCGTACTTTCGCACGGCTGTCGAGTTTTCGTGAAACACGAAAATATGACAAAGTCACTACTTTATCGTATGTCTCGCGAAGCATCAGGAGAAACTATTTTCGTGTTCATGCCTGGCGCCCCGAAGAGCAAAAATACATTTGGCACAAATCAGCCACCATAATATCAACTTATACTTTCTTACATATTAGACTTAGTAGTAACATTTTGGTTCTTTTAGGGAATTTCCAAGAGCAGATAATTCAAAACTTATTTGATTTCTGGTATTAAAATTTCTCGTTTGTTACTTTTTTCTTTGCCAAGAAGATTTTATGCTTTTGCAAAATGTTATGCCTTTTTGAAGAAAACTACAGTATTTCTTCTTATAAAAGCATAGCAAGATGTATCTTTGATAGAAACAGTTTGCATTATTATTGAATAGCATAACAATGGAAAGCTTGATTCTGAGTTATTTGCTCTTGAAAATATCTGCTAACCAAATATCTGCTATAGTATACTGTGATGTTCAAATTTGTTTCCTGTAAAGCATCCGTTTCAGCCGTCTTCATTTCTGTACATACATTATTTCAGGTGAAAATGAAATTTTTGGTTATTAATTTCAGGGGGAGATTACTTGCGCGACGTCATAATGAGGACACTAATAATAGAAGTATAGCTTTTTTGTTTAACATTATCGTAAAAAGAACACTTTTAATTTGTTCTTATTTCGGCTCAGCAATTGTCATTTTGGTTCCTTATATTTTTCCTCAGTGAATGTGCCTTTGCCTTACTTTGTCCGAATCCCGCCATTAATTTTAGATTCTTATATGTGAGTGAAACTATCCATGGAGTTCGGTTGGTGCTACCATTCATGTGCCCCGTTCGTGCCATAAGTATTTCACAGCACCGGAGGTCTTCACAAACTAGTAAAGATAGCAAGTCACAGTATGACTTTAACAGTATCGAATTGACTTAAAAATACTGTGTTAAATTCTTTTTTTAGAATATTGTCCTGTCAGCTCAGCGTTCAACCTTTTGTCAAGTTAAGTAGACATATAATCGAGCCTTATTTGTCATTGGTTACATTTTAAACTGTTATACAACTTGATATCTCTCCTTGTCAACAACAATATATCAATTATTTAAAAAAATGTATTAAACAGAAATGAAATTTACACAAACACACATAAAAGAGAACAAAGACCAACATTTATAACTAATCTTTTTTTTTCAGAGAGGTTAATCAAAAAACGCATCTGTTCTGCCGAAATTTGCAGAAGACGCCGCCATTGTCATCATCACTATCATCATTTGTATCATCACTACGATCAGGTACATGTATATACAGTTTAACAATAGAAATATAACTTGTTAGTTTGCTTCAATACACAACGAATAGAGAAAATATATAACATACAATAAAAGTAAGCGTGAAAAAACAAGCCCTATACAATTATCTCAAAGGGTATAAAATGTATATCTAATAGGTTGTTTTACAAAATTTAAAGACCGGTTAATTTATGTTGTTGATGGATTATCAAAAGAATTGTATTGTTGAGCGAAACCCTAGACGCTCGTAACCAATTACAGGCGTATTGTAAAAAGATGGCACCTTAAGATGGCATGTTAACGTTGTAAAGACTAAAATCATGGTATTCCGAAAGTGTGGTCAATTACCACCTAGGCTTTGTAATGAGCAGTAGCGGTTCATTTCGAAAAGGCTTAGATGCATTAGCAGATAAAGCACTTAAATGAATGTTTTCTCTCAAAAATATCATTTGAGGTATACCACTGCATGTAAACATTAACCTTTTAGATGCATATGTAACATCTATGTCATATTGTTCTGAACTGTTGGGTTTCAGCTAGAGCGACTCCATAGAAAATATCTGTCTACAAACTGCTATGGTGAAACGGACGGTTTCTATAAGCTATTAACAGAAAAGTAAAACTATATGTTAATAAATAAGTGATTTGATATTGGCCCTGTTATTTGTCCAAGGGCAGTCGTATTGGCCCAATCTATATCATTTTTTTTTTTTTGCCCTGCTTAATTAGCCAATCAAATCATTTCAAATGCGGGCTTTATATCTATATCACTTTTCGGCCCGGGCCGAAAACGTGATATAGATATTGGCACTGTTTTAAGACAGGCCATTGTTTTATTGAACGTGGCAGGTGCTTTTTTTATAGGACTAATAACGTATACGAGAAAATGGACGCCAATAACACTTTGACGTGACGTCATTTGCGCTATGTAGAAACATTTATTACCCTTCCAGATTTTTTCCGCCTTTTTGATTGGATATTGATCACCCGAAAGAAATTGATATAACCGAGCCAGACGGGTAATATACACACTAAATTTCCCCGTTGGGTACCCAACGTTGTAAACGACATGCGCTGAGGTGATGCGCGTACGGTTCGATTTTACGCATTTACAAGCACTTTTTAACTGTCAAATGATAAATATTTACCAAAGTAGAGTAATGATACAAATTCCCATCAGTATTGAAAACTAATATGACCTTGTGAAAGCTTGATATTAATTACAAAAAAGTGCTTTCAATAGACTACTCCTTTTCTCTTGTTTACATTCGTTAGGTACGGGAAAAATACGTCATGTATTTATGTGACGTCATGTTGTGATGAAGAGGTACCCTAAAGGAAATCTTATTTCGACGTTTCATTTGAAACAGCAATGATTTTTTTTAAAAATCGTCTAAACTCGGCAGGGGAAGGGTAATAAAATTATTATTTTGGTTTTGGAGTGATATATGTGGATATATTACCTGCCAAGATAAAATATCACCCTCGCCTAACGGCTCGGGTGATATAAAATCTTAGCAGGTAATATATCCACATATATCACTCCAAAACCAAAATAACATATAATATGTAGCGTTACTGTAAAGCGCGCTAATGTTAGCGTTACACTATAAACGCGTCATTGAAAAATTACTCATTTTAACAGTTTACTGTTCTTATTTTATACATGTGATAAAAAGAATATTATATTCGTGTAGATTCAATACTAAATTTATTGAACTCGTTGAATAAGACAATATTAATGACATGATTTTATTCAACTTGTTCAATAAATTTAGTATTAAACTACACTCATTCAATATCCTCTATTTATTACACAGTTTAAAGTTACATTTAATAAATTTCGTAAAAAAACTAAATAGCGACATTTCATTAATAAATTGGGTTTTATATCGATTCCAGGTCTTATTTTGGTGTCCAAACAACCAAAGTGAGTTTTATAAGCATGAAAATAGGTAACCTCATTGTGGCGAAATGGGAAGTACAATTTCTGTTTGCATGAGAAACTCCGCCTTCGGATTATCCGTACATCAATATTAAATCAACAAACATGACTATAAGTGGTACTCCAAATTTAACGGTATATTTCCGCATTGTAACGGATGTTTTCATACAAATTTAATCTTTTAACGAGATGATTACTTTTACTGAACCCCAGGTTTAGTGCACCGTGAAGCTTAAACGGTAAAACTGTGTTTGCACAAGAAAATATCACATTTGCTGCGTTCCCGATAGCAACTTTAAAACCGTGACGTAGCGCATACACGAGCTCATTATTGTCTTCATTTGCATGTTAAAATTCGTATACGAACTTTAGTGTTACCGTGGGGTTTCCCGTTTAAAATCCTAATTTATGAACAATCTTTGATGAGATTTACAACAATACTATTAAACAGGTTAATGAAACTGTAGAATGTTTGATTTTTAGGCCGACGGTAAAATATTTTTACATATTTATTTAATGTAACTTTAAGTTAAAGATATTTATATAGGAAAGTGGAGAGAGGCAGTTGACGTTTCAACGGCATTGACTCAATATCAAAAAAAATAAACAAACTTTTGAAATATCTGAATACTTGACAATACTTGATAATAATAAATTCAGAAATCTCTCGGCTAGTTTTAGGTTTTCTTCGCATTGTTTAGTCATAGAGCAGGGTCGCCATAGAAACCAGAGAAGAAGTTCATTCTATTTGAACGTGTCTGTTTTGTTTTTGTTTTTATCTCTTTTAGTTATTTTCTTTCCATTTTTAGCTCGACTATTCGAATAATAAGGAGAGCTACCCTAGTCCCCCGAGCGTCGGCGTCGGCGTACCCACTTATGTTAAGTTTATTTACCACCTCAAATAAATTTAAAGTTCATTGACATATGACTTTGAAGCTGTGCACACTTGTTCACTATCATGCCCCAACATGCACACAGGAGGAGGTTACTGTATCAAGCAATGTCATATCGAATTACTATCAAGCACTGAGAATAGTCGAGCATGATGTCCTACTGACAGCTCTTGTTAAGTCAAAAATTGATGATACATAATTATAGGTGCGGAATATAACATCCGAAAATGAGAGCAGTAGACATACGTCTTTATCTCAACCTGATGTTAATGACACAAGCACACAGACTGATGGAGGGGAGTCCACAGACACAACCACCTCTTTTAGACCACCAAGAAAGCCTACACCAATAAAGCCTACACCAAGAAAGCCTACACCAGAGGTACGTAACGTTATATAGTATTGATAGACAAAGTAGAAACCATTTACCAGCAACATTTGTGTAATGGATGTGTCCTACTTTGTATTTTGAACTGTTTAATTGATTGATTAAAAGATTTGAATATCAAAAAAAGGCAAATACTTTAGGCTGAACTTTTTACAGCTTAGAGACTTCACAATCTGCATGGCAAAAGCTAATCACTTGCGGTTTAATGTGATAATATGACAACAAATATTTTATTTCCACATATATTATACTCATTGGTTTAATATTAATTGATGTGGTTGTACCAGCTACATGTATTTGCAAAATATTTCATGTAATGATTGTTTATTTTAGAAATGTGCTCATAAAATGCATTAAAATGCAAATATATGAGTCCCAGTTTCAGCCAATTAATGTGTAGTTTGTATTTAGTCACTAATATAGTTCTTTTTAACATATTTGAAATCTTTTAGTGTTTGAAATTATTATTTTTTTTGTCCAATAGGAATGAATTGTAACACATCTACTTTGGTAAATCGGCAAACAGTAAATCAGTCTAGTAAATCGACTGTTTATAAAAATAAATTTAAAACACTAAGCCGGTTAAAGTTAAAGACATTGAACCCGAGGTTATTTCATGTCGGCACACAAAAACGTTTGAAAATAGATATGGAGATTATCATAAAAGAGAAATGACGCCATGAGACTTTGAATAAAATAACTAGGAATCAAAGCAACACAATTATAGCATTTTATTATTTTACATACGAGTACTTTGATATCTCTCTATTTTTGTAGCCTCCCAGTTCTGATTCATCCGTTGGAAGGAGACGTCCTGACCGTCCTGGAAGACGTACGTATTTAAATATTTGTTAACATAATTCTAATTAAAAAAACTAAGACTTTTAATCTTAACACTTTTTATATTACAAACATCGACTTCATTCGGGGTTGCAATTTTTCACCTCGTTTTGTTCAATGCTGATAATTTTCGCTTCTATTTTAAGAATTTTGGTAAAAATTTTATTTTGCTGCTGTTGAAAGAGAACATAACTTATTATAGCTCATTTCAAATATTGTTTCTATCAATACCACTATAGTACATCTGAGATGTAATACAGTAGTTTTGGCTCGATGGTCGGAAGACGGGTGGTATTATTTTGGTAAGGTGACTAGTGTGGAGAACGACTACGTCAAAGTATTAGACTCTACCGGATATGAGGAAAATATTAGAAAAAGGGATATACTTGTCGAGAGTGTCAGTCATAACGGTAGTGTAAAGGTAGGTATCCGTAAGTTTTTGGCAAGATTATTTTTTTATTTTTTTCCCAGTAGGTCAATTCATTACAAATAATGAATGAGTTTGTTGTAAGTAGATCTATGTGTATTATGGTGGCTGGTACGCTAGCGACAACTTTACAAAGCGCCAAAACGGCGCGCTGTCGTCCTGTCTCTAGCGCGGTACGCCAAACGGCGCGTTGTCGAGCAGTGTTTTGTCGTGATGTCACATTATCGCTCGGTTAAAATTGAAAGATTGGCTTATAAGCCAAGCGACAGGGCGACATCGCGAAAACGCTTCGCACGACAACGCGCCGTTTGGCGTGCCGCGCTAGAAATAGGACGACTAGACGACAGCACGCCGTTTGGCGCTTTATCGCGTTATCGCTAGCGAAAAAACGACTTGAGGAAAGCCCGACAACGCGCCGTTTGGCGCTTTGTCGTGTTGTCGCTAGCGCCAAATAGACGCACAATTTTAAGCTACATCTGCAAATCGGGCACCATAATAGTCTGTAAGTTGCGAGTAATGCTACAAAAGGTATATCATGTCTGATAAGTTTTTTTGGTGAATTCTGTCAAGTTTAATAACAGTGCCGTGTTAGTTTTGTCATGATTGTTCCAAAAAGAAAAAAAAGCGCTTTAAGAGCATGTACTTTTAAATATTTTTAAACTTCTTCCTTCCGGAATAAGAAAGACCGCATTTGCATATATCATAATATTTACAGTACTTTGCAGGGCTGGCAAAATCTGATTTTGACTTACTTTTCCGTTTATATCAGAAGCACTTCTTAACTTGTACGTATGATATCTATTTTGTAAATTCTTACAAATTCCCTCCAAATTATTTTGCCGCCCCTGCTATGACATTCTTTAAAACATCAAATAAACTAGCTTGAGACTTCCTGATAGTGGAAATGGTATAGATTATTAGATCATATCATAGATCATGCCATTGTATCAATCTAAACCTTTCGAAACAACAATACTGTTTAGCTTATACTTGTATCAAAACGTAACAAATAAGGAACCATTATATTACTTACTTTTTCTGTCAAATGTATAATTATTTCCCTACAACAAACTTACTGAAAATTCATTCAAATTCATACCCTGTTTTATCGATGCCAGTCAGTTAATATTTTTATGCACGTTTAAAGAACTAAGTATATATGAGCCGCGTCACGACAAAACCAACGTAATGCGTTTGCGACCAGCATGGATCCAGACCAGTCTGCGCATCCGCGCAGTCTGATCAGGATCCATGCTGTTCGCTATCAGTTTCTCTACATGTAATAGGGTTTGTAAGCGAACAGCATGGATTCTGATCAGACTGTGCGGATGCGCACGCTGGTCTGGATCCATGCTGGTCGCAAACGCATTACGTTGGTTTTGTCATGACACGGCTCATATGGTTTTCAGCAGGATGACAAAGTCGTCGCAATGCATCCAAAGTATGAAAACAGTTACGCTCCTGCCACTATTCTTAATGTGTACAACAATGGATACCTCATTCAGTTCTATGACGAAACAGAAACTGAGACAGACGAAGTCTATAAAATATCAGATCAAAAATACACACAAGATGTAGATTATATTAAAAGTCAGGAAATGCAGATTCGTGGCCTTGTGATAGCCCGTGATGATATCAATGGATTATATAGACCATGTAAGTAACTTGTATTTATTTTCACGTATTCTTTTGTTATGTTCAGGAAAACAGTGAGTGTGCATAGTGTATGAATATTTTGCAAAAGAATTTTACGATGGTCATCGGTATATTGACTCAGTAGGAGTTCCTAATGGTTGTATAAAAGCAATAGCACTATGTTACCCAGCACTCCTTGGCACCAACAGCCCTTTGCAGAACTACCTCCTAGGTTACTGTACATTTAGGTCTCAAGACCATGTGGCCTATTTTTGGCCCAAAATTCATATCTTTGGCTTTTACTTCGTGGAAATAGCATGGAGGTAAATTAAAAAAAATTAAGTCTTTAAGGGCATGACTAATGGCATGTTCAGGGTCCATACTCGACAGCGAAAGCTAGCTGTTTTTTTGTGCCTTTAAGAGCGGATGTACCCTCATTAAACATAGACTACATATACACAGACCCGGCTCTCTCACGCTCTCTCATCTCCTCGGTAATGCAAGTCGTAGAGAGGCACAGGGCATCAGCTGAAGATTTGAAGGACTCTGGATGGCGGGATATAAAAACCAGACCTTGTACTTGCGGACCAGCTGTCAATGTCCTGATTAAAGCAAAGGATAGAGATCCTTAAAACTTAAAAGTAGGCAGGGAGGACAATGATGGGTGCTACGGTGCGTCACCCACTAGCACGTGGTGAGGGCTTGGAAAGTTGGCTCTTTGCTTGGCACCAACAACCCTTTTCAGGGCTGTCTTGCTTTTCAGATTGTCTCGAGTTACTGTACATTTATGTTCTTATTCGCTACCGTGCAGTGACATACTTTTGGCTCAAAATTCATATCTTTGCCTAATATTCCGTGGAAATTGCATGGAGGTAAATCATCACCACTTTGTGCTTCAGGTTCTTTAAAACATATTCAAGGGAATAAGTGGTGACATGTCCGGTGTCCGTACTCGAAAGCGAAAGCTTCATTTTGTGCTTTAACGGGCTGATGGAACTTTATTAAGCATAGACTTTATAATACATACAATGTGATTCGGAAAACGTGTTTTAGTATATTATTTGCCCAGTACAAGCTAAAAAGTTTCTTATCGTTCCCTTTTCATATAAGCTTAATAATTGTACTTGAGCTGAATAATAAAGATCTTTTTTCCAGTTATTGCAGTATGTCCAAATCACATGACCCAGCAAATTTTTCTACAAGCGCAAAACAACACTTACATAATTCAAGAGGCCATACATGTATTCCGACGACAAGGCAGTATGCAAAAAATTACCAGACATTGGAAATATGTTCTTGGACCACTAGATCCGGCACGAACTGTGTACCTCCCGGCCGAAATTATCACCAGACGTCCATTTCGCCTTCGGTTTTGTAATGGACAGCTGTAAGTATTTCAATTTAATACTATTAACATATAAATTCTCAACAAGATTCATATATTTTACGTACGAACAAACGCACCGACATTATACTTCTGTAAATGATGAAAACCATTTTGGGGGGGGGTAAATACATGTAAGTCACAATGCTAGCTACATATCCATTTAAAACCGTCTGTAACGCTAATCCTGTTACATCTGATAATTTTGTAATAAATGGACTTATTTTTAACAATTTTGAAATCGGTCAAATGCTAATGTTGTTTGGTTGGTGAGATGAATATTTGATATTGCCTACCGCCATTAGAGTCTGGTCATATTGTATGGGTGTAGTACATACTGGCTTTATATTTCATTACTTGTGACAAAGTCTTTTCAATTAATATTGAAAGTTTAGATTTCTTTATGATTAGATTTTTGTTGTGTACCTTAACTGTATAGTACTTACATGTATATTTGTGTTTCTATGCGGTGATTATTCATACATGTAGTATGATTTATGTTCCAGAAATGACCACGCCAAGTTAAGCGATTGTTTTTTCCTCAGTGAAGATTATTACAATAATGCCACTAAATACTTTGTCGCCCATGGATCTAACACGCGCACAACTTACATGTTTTGACTTCCTTAAACCGGGGACCAAGCATTGATCAACGTTTGTTATGTTGACGATAATACGGCGTATAAAAGAATCTTCTTTCGGTTGTAGAAATGTACAAGTCTCAAAAGAAAGGTACAGTTACCGGAAGTAGCAGGAGTTTGTAATCGCAAGACAGTACACAATGAGTTGCACAAGTTTGCAAGTCATGGTACATTGTACATGTACATTGATTTCTTTTATCTACTGCAAATAAAGTTAGTTTTGATTAACAAAAATATGTTTAGTTAACATTTTTATTATGGTTATCATATTATTATGTTTAATTTATTTTTATGTTTTTGTTTATTTTTTTCTTCAAATAAACGTTACTTTTACAACTATAAAATCTAGTTTGTCAATTCTTTAATGTCATAAATGAAATTTATAATTCTAAAGATAGCAAGTCGTATGTAATTATATTGCAAGGTTACAGTATAGTTAAACATTGACAAACTGATTCTTAAAATTGATTTGACAAAATACCATATCTTGTTTTACGCAAATTATTTATAATTTTCAGTCTATTTTATTTTCTGTACCTTTTTTTCTTCGTTTTGTTGTTACAGACCCATTTTAAAAACATTTCACTCAACATGATGTTATAAAAATGTATCAATGTTATCCTTCATAATAACGATATTATTGTATGATTAAACACTACCACACGAACACAAGACCACTTGTCTAGCCGGAAGTTGCTTGTCCCATTATACTATGTCCCAGCTCACAAATTTACACATTCATATCATTTGCAACAGGTGTAATTATACATAATTATTACTGTTATCGAAATGACAAAAGTATCTTACTCTTGCATCTACAATTGGCTAATGATCCTGGCTTCATTTACGATATCAAACAGGAGATATGACCAAGTATAGACGGTTTGTGACGACCCGAGTGGCTAATCGAGGGTTATATAACAAACAATCATTAATTAACGCCCATATAACTTGTCAGATGTCTCAATTATAGCAAATTATTTCTGTGTTTTATTTCATGAAGAATTCATGCAGACATTTGCAACAGCTGTTTATCTTTCTGACTGTGCAATGAAAATCGACGTTATAAACGTGCAGTATCAATATGTTCTTTACAGAGAGATGATCCTTGATGTAGCTTTTGCTGTCAACAAGAATCCAAGTAAACAAATATTCTTTATGAATACAACTACATTAGTCAAGTAAAGTATTTGTCGGACCCTAAATATAGGAGATCCCCGTAATCTATTAATCATAAACAGTGGAGATAATTGAAAACATTGACATTGTTAATGAAAACAGACTTAGTTGACTTTGTTACTGAAGACAGTTCTTAACTTCTTAGTACCTCAACATTTTGGGCGGTAAAAAATTGAGTGTGCCTAGAATTTCAAAAGACAATTTGTGTATGTCTCGTTTAAGAAGTGTATCCCTTACGTAGGTGATACTTTGAAAAAGAAAAAAAACATTAATATGTCACATAACATATGTATGACGTTGGAACGTGAGCCTCATTTCTTTACCAGGTAGTCTTATAAATTGTTCTGTATAAACAAACTAAAGGATATCATGCTGTATTTTTGCATGTTTGCTCACACAATGGCGTACTAATTAAGTATCAGTATTGTTTTAGAAGTCCGTTGAGTACGCTATTGTCTATGACTTATTGGGACAGCCCTCGTACACGTACTAGTAATTCTAAAATGCAATTTATCCTTAAAAAACACACATAACACAAGGAGTTATTACTACATTGTTGAGGATCGACATTTGAAACTTAATTAAAGTTGTCCCTTTCCTAAAATCATTATGATTGCCTATACATGGCTATAGAATATTGATAACATTGTATCAGCCATATATTACTTAGTACGTTAGTAAGCGTTCAAAGGAATGTTTAATGGAATCAGATCTTATATATAATGATAAGAGTACTTGCAGGTTTTTTAAGGATGCGCACGTCGCTTCCAAACTTAATGGTTTAAGGTAATGACTCTTAGGTGGTATTCTACGAAATAGGGCATAACAGTCCAGGAGCTATACTTGTGAAACAAATTGAATTATAAAAATGTGTTAGAATACCTTCATTTGGTTGCATGTTTTACACAATATAACATCTATATTTCTTGTTAAAGATTGTGTTAGATACTGCACCTTCTAATTACGTTTCTCATTGTATATACATGTAATTACACTGACACAAACTCTTCATTGGTTAAAATTTGGTTTTAATACTCTAACCTATAGTTATATAATATGCTTTTATTTGTAATGATTTCAAAACGTCTGTGACAAATATACAGTAATATTATGCTGTAAATCACAATCAGTATACATGTTGTACACAGGCTTTGTTATCAAGGGTTGATGCACTCATCAGTCACATTAATGGTCTTTCCTTCCTCTGTTACAATGTAATATTCAACCTTTGTTCTGAAATTCACAAGTATTTTACATTTCTATCAAGCTCTTTTCTTATTTACAAATTTCATATCCAACTTAACTAAATCAACAGACTACTTTCAACCGAGCTATGGACATATTTGGATATCATTTCTTATTATCCCGAGGCCACGAGATATTCAAATGTGAAATGTAAACTTTTACCATGAGGTCTTCGCTTATAAGTAAATTTGGAAAGTCGCAAAATGACCTTGACATTGTTGGCGAAACTCGAAACTGCAAATATTATTATTATTTTTGCAAATGAATTTACTCTATTGCACATTTTATAAAAAGAAATATCGTTACAAGAACTATTTGTTTTACTTACATACACATTGCATTCTTGTACTTCTTACATTTGAAACATGGCGGACCCTGTCTTGTCCCTATATGTCCACATTGTGTTATTACTGTAAAAAAGGAGAAGTTCTGAATGAAAATTTACAATTTACTCAAATATTTAACACGACATATCGGACATTCACACCATAAAACATGATTTCATCTGAGCAAAACTAACAGTTTTATAACATAAAAATACAGACAGAGATTTAAACCTTAAACTGCTGAAAACGACAGAGATTAGCCTTTGTAACCAATATGGAGCCAGGCCAGTACTGTAGCTGACCAACCACAACGTTTCATCTTTATATCACTAGAATTTGTGTGGACAGTTTCAAAATTCAAAGCTGGAAAATTTCACGAAGAAATTTATCAGGTTTGGTGGCATACCTTCTTCACAGTTTCTCCCAGTAAAACCAGCAGGGCAGCAACATGTATAATTACCAATCAGATCTACACACTTGCCTCCGTTCAAACATGGCATGGGCTCACATTCGTTAATATCTGATAAAATGAATATATATTATTTATAATAACTAAATAACAAAGGCATTAACAATATACAATGTACAACATAAATACATGTAACACGTTATGGTCTTGTTATTATTTTGGTCAAGGATTGTAGTTGGCTTCAAAGGAAAATAAACAGATATACCTTTGAAGATATAAAAATCAAAGCACAGAAAGCACTGAATTTGTTTGGGTCTCAGGATGTCAGAAAGGTGAAGGTTTGTTTTTGTATAGTGCCACCAATGCTTTCCAGTGTTTTAACTGTAGTAAATTGGTTATAAGACAAATTGCAACTCAATGTTTATTTGACTTAAACAATTAAAAAAATATTGAGTTTCCTTAACTGGGATTTGAACTCCAGACTTCTCGATTCCTAAGCGAGCGTGCAAACCCCTCGGCCACGGTGAAGTTATAAGTCGGGTTGAAAAAACCATATCATTCTAAATTAGGGTGTGTAACACTTAATATTTCGACGCTACACCTGTTGTTTAACACAGATGTAAATAATCATGGAGCTTACTATAAGCATGTATATCTATAAAGAATAAAACAATATTCTACAATTCGGGAACTATTTTGCCTGAAAAATAATACGCCTGTCATTTGACAATCTTTGCGCAGTGATCTCCCCTGAATTTTTCGGCGTTAGTGTACATATAAAGGGAAGCAACCGCTTCAAAAAAGCGGACTACTTTCGGCATTTGCAATTAACAGCATCAGGGTCTGAAATTTCGCTACCATTATTTGTTTGGTCTGACGACCCAAACAAATAACAATATAGCATGATTTTAGTGCTGAATGTATGTCGGCGTGTATTAAAACTTGTATTGCCATGATATAACGTAATTTTCTATTTTTTCCCAAAGCTGTCAAAGACGGCACGCTACTAATTAGACGCTGCATAGACAAAACCATGATAAAAATTATAAATAAGTGAATATATTTCTGTATCGATACCAAGAAAACACAAATACTCAATTGTCTAACTTTTAGCACCACATAACATCCAGCATCCATGTGATAAAGTCAATGAAAATGATACAGAAAATATCAACAAAATTGTTAATGCTGTAATGGACGACAACAATCGGAATAAACTCCCTACAGTAACAAAAATGATAAGAGTAAAAAAAACATCAAGCAAAACAGATAACGATTGAAAACAAGGTATATTGTACTAGAGTTATGAACCTTATCATACCTAATGTGAGTGATGACAAAAGAGACAAAGAAAATGAAGTACCAGCCCAAATTAACAATTTCAAATACATTTTAAGTTTACGATAAAGATAAGTTCTGGTGCTAGGATTGTGAAACTCATCACATGTTGTAGGTGTTGATATGGAATAATTATTTGAAATGTGATTAGATTTGTCTAGAGTTCTAAACCGTGTCACTGATGATTCCTGTGTTATAACAACAGATGAGAAGTTCAAAGTATATACATTGTACCTCAACAATTACAGTAAAAATAATAAGTTTAAAAAAATTCTTAGTTCAAGGGGGTGGGGTTGAGTTTCTATAGATATTGCATCTGTTATGAACCTTGTGACATATTATGCGGATGATGATGAACAAATGTTACATTTTAAGTACTTTTGTCGAGAGATAAAAACAAGGTTATAGGAAAAATAATTTACTACACAGAATCTTTAATCAGAAATCAACAGAAACTTTGACGCCGACGGTGTGATGAGTAGGACAGCTATCCATATACTTCTTAATATGTAAAAAATTTATTAACAAAAATAAAAAAAACAATTCTCTCCTTTTTGCGTCTGCTTTATTCTATACTAAATATACACAGTTAAAACATAAATATCATCACTACTATTAAATTTGAGAAAAAAATATATAGATAGATATCCAAGTATTCAAAATTTTAATTACCAATTGTACAATTTCTGCCATCGTATCCTGCGTCACAAATACATCTGTAACCTACAGACGGGTCAATGATGCATTCCCCGTGCTTACAGACACCAGTGCTGCATAAATCTGTAACAATGAGTGCACGTAATGATATCAAATTTACCAGAAACCTAATCTTACACACAGAAAACAATACGAATAATGATTACAAATGCAGCTTACGCCTCTGGGCAATAATAACTGGAAATTATTTGAGGAAAAAATCAGAGAAACTATAAAATAAACTGTTGACGCTTATCTCAACTTAATTTAACCCATGTATGCTTCTTCAAGTTTGCAAGATACATGTGTCTGGTCTACATATATTTAGTTTTTACTTGCTTCTTTTGTAGTCGCACATTTTATACACAACACTGTTAGAAAATACTGTCATTCTTCCTCCGCCAGTGTTGCACAATAAAATTGAGGCGAAGTTATTCAGGTTAAAAACTTATAATTTTTGTTTAAAAAAAAACCCTTAAAGGAAATAACTAAAATAATTTCCAAGGAGGCTGTGTATACATGTTCAAACTTACGCTGAATTAAAGAAATTGCTTAAAAATACTTAAAAATGCAGAACTTGTCAAATATTTGTCAACTACTGGTGAAATCAAAATATTCGAAAATGTCAAACACTTTAAATTGAAAATGCAAGATTTATCGCCTTGTCTGTCCAGGAATTGTAATTTTCCAGTAAAGTGTCTCTGGTGAAGTGTCCGTATATGTGACTCTATAGTAAAGTGTCCGTAAAATGTGACTCTGTATGGTATATTGTCATCGTATTTTAGTGAAACAGCACAATCAAATTGGGCATGAATGACCACAGTTCGAAAGATGTATTGCTAAAGTCAATCTTGTCTTATTGTGGAACCATAGGCGTTAATAATAACCATAATTGTGACACTTGGTTTTTTTTTTGTTTTTTTTTTTGGCAGATAGAATATCTTTTGCACCATTTCATTAACTTTGGAACACATTCCTCACAAAAGTTTACGAAGACAATATATTTCGCTTCAATAAGCCCTAGCGGTGTTACAGACCATTACAAATTGGAATAAGACACTTCTGGTGAAAGTTTGTACATATATAGTATGAATTAATGTGCCGATGAAAGAAACTGTCAATATTTTAAGACGAGAAGAAGATATTTAAGTTATTTTAAAGGCCCATTATGCCGAAGAAATGTATTGTTTTTAATTTCTAAAACGTTTTTTATTTTTTACGTCATGTTATGAATTATAAAAGGTTACACATTGGCCAATTACCTGAACCATCTTTTGCCGATTTCGCCTCTTGGAAAAATAGTACTGTTACAGTGAATTAGTATTTTGTATGACGTCAAAATACTACTTTGTTTACATTTTGCTACTTTCATGACAAATAATTTCACATTCAGCGCTAACTTTTTCATGCAATAAGCATTCAATATGCTCATAAATGATCATTTAAACATCATAAAACTAGTGTTTGCCCTTTCTAAAGAAGAAAAAAATATTCGTTGCTGAGGCATAATGTGCCTTTTAAGAGAGACAGTCAGTTTTAATTAGCTTTTATCAGTCCTGATAGTTGTAGCATCATTTGGTATAGCAAAATAAAGACATTGCAACGATTAAGAACAATATAACAAACTTTTCGTTGAATTAAAAATTAAATCTTTAATATGTGTTAATTATAATGAAAAATGAAATAATTCCATTGGCCGAAATTGTTTATTACTTAATCATCCTGCCATTTTTGCTTGCCAAGTCTATTCAGGTTACAATTTTACATCGTCGGATACCCACGGCCGAACCATTTACATTTATCATTGATTGCATGTTATGTGACATGTTTATCAATTTAGCGACCCCTTGAAGCATTGCCGGATATTATACAGTATACTCGTATAATAAGCATTAAGAGAATGTGCATGTATATATGCAAAGCGTATTGAACGTGCTCGAAAAGTGTATTGCTGATATGATTTTTGTTTGTTCGTTTGGTTTTCGTTGTTGTTTTTTTTACTACAGCATTTCTCCGTTCAAGGTGTATAAAGGGAAAAACATTTAAACTACAGTTAAAGGACCTCGGTAAATAAATTATCTTTAAGGCCTGATTTAATGACTGGGCCAATGCTCAAACATCATATGAATTAGGAAAAAGAATGAAATATGAGCCGCGTCACGACAAAACCAACATAATGGGTTTGCGACCAGCATGGATCCAGACCAGCCTGCGCTTCCGCGCAGTCTGATCAGGATCCATGCTGTTCGCTATCAGTTTCTCTACTTTTAATATGGTCGGCAAGCGAA